AAGTTTATGCAAATTAACTATAATGCGGTGAAGGGACAATCGAAATGATTGGCTCTAACAAAGGCTTTTCATTTATTCTTCCCAACAGTGTTGCACAAAAAATAGAATTTTATAAACCTGTAAACTTATAACAGCGGTTCATATTTTAAACAAAATGGCAATACATATATTTTTTTATAGTTACTCATCAGAAACTTTACAGTGTACACGACAACAAGAGTAGCCTCGAACGCACCCACAAACGACAAACTTCAGGCAACACTGCGGACCTGCTGCCTCCTAAAGTGAACATACTCGGTGAAAATGTAGTTTTTCCACACTAATAACGTCCTCTGGGGTTTGTGTTTAGCACCAAAACTGATTTCTGTTCTTTCCTCCTCTCTGTTCGCTTCAGTTTTTACCACAGATGTATATCAGGAACTAGTCAGCTTCTGCCCACAGCGCCCACTAGTGGATTTATTAGTCAAGTTTATATGTCTATTCTATATGTCTATGCAACCCCTAACAGTTATATGTACTCAAGTAATTCCTAATTCTCCTTTTTATGGGTTTAATTTCATTCTGTTATGTTTCTGACACCATCTGTGCTGCTTGGTCACGATTATTACGTAATCAACCGGTCGCAATAATTTGAGCTGACTGCAGTTATTCTCCACAGTTGCTGCCGTTCATGATTATATGTTTATGCTGCAACAAACAGAATGTGATTTGTCTGTGTCTTAATCAGTTAGATTACGAACAATAAACACATTTAATTATTAGTTAATCGCAATTAATTACAAAGCTAATAAAGCTGCATTCAGTAAGTTTTGGGGATTTGGAGACCTCTGTGGTGGAAATGTGTAATTGCACGCAATGTGTGGAAGAACGTTTTGTAGCGTGGGTTGTGCTTCGGATCCCTTTCCCCTGTGTCTTCCAAGGGTGTGAGTGAATTATCTACCATCGTCATCATATCTTAATCAATATAATGCCGATTTTGAGATCATTTGAGGCCTAAACATTAAGCCGGACCCTGTTTTAACCTGTGCGTGTGACGTTTATCCAACCCAACACCTCTGATGACACCTGTTTCCTTTCTCCTGACAAAAAATATCTTACATAGTGCAGCTTTAATTGCCAGTAAAATGTTATGATCACTGTTGTACTTCTACCCAAGTTGTTTTTTTGGAAAGATACTTTCACTCTTACTGAGTCATTATTTCACTGAACTTACTGTACTTCTACTGGAACATGGATTTAGGCCACTTTACCCACTAAGGCACAATTCACAGACACACAAATGTGGGATTAACTGTAAATGCTGAAGGTATCTGCCCTGCCCATCCTGGGTAGTCTATTCAGAGTGAACTGTACGACTACAACACTGGAATGTGTTTCCTGAGCCAACTCTGTCTTCTTTTTTTGGTGAAGAAAGTGGCTGAACGAGCTTTGATCATCCTCACAACCTGCGTCCGGTCTGAAACACTATCAGGAGGCACCACAACACCGACTATTTTGAGTCTGACTGCCGCCGAGAGCATCTTATTTTATCTTGTGACAGATCCAAAGCTGGTTGTGACGTAACGTGCAGACATTTTCACGTCTAAACTTCGGCAAAGCTGGAAACTGGACACTATCCCAGGCCTTTCGGTGCAATGCCCGGTTCTTCCCACTGTAGGCCACTGCAAACACGCCCAAAGCAAGTCACCAAACCAGGTCATGGTTCTTGTGAACTGTTTAAGCTGCGGTGCATCAAGCGTCAAACGATTTCAAACTCACCTTAAATCACATTCCCACCAGACATTTCCTGCCAACTACTGCAGTGGGGCGTCCGCAATGCCATTAACACTACATGCTGAAGTTTAAAGGCCAGTTCGGGGTGAATTTGAACCTGTCTAGCAGAAAAAACAGATCACTGGACATATCAGATCACTTTTACCTGCTGTCTCCCTTTGTGTTTGAAGGCGGTGGGTGAAGGATTGTCTGGTTTTCTTCCATTTCCACCACACATTTGGTGCTCAGCTCAATCTCTGCAAGCCAATGGGGAAAAGTTTGCCTACATAAGTCCTCTCACTCACTGGAAATGCCATGTTCAACCACAAAAACCACTTTAGAAATGTTCTGAAGCTATCAGCTTAACTCCACCATCAAACCAATATGATGGAGCATGAGCTCCCATTAGAAAGACAAAGCAGAAATCAGCTTCTTGTTCGAATTCACCCGTTCCACCTTAAACGGTGCAGCAGTTCCATTCAGGCGCCACAGGCTCCAGAACGTAACTGCTGCACCATTTAAGGTGGAACGGGAAAATTGGAACAAGAAGCTGGCGAAACAGGTTGAAATCTAGTTTCTAAGATCAGATATGAGCTTTGACTCACCTCTCCGGTTCATTGGACGAACTCGGACAGCAACTTTTACCTTTGTATCCGACATTTTAATGCACTTTTTCGTTGTTTTTCCTTCCTCCCGTCTCGTTATTGTAATGCGCGGCTAGCCCAACAACTCAAGTCTTCGCAAAGTCCCGCAATAACAGAGCCGCCGAGGAAGGCAAAAGGGTGGAAATACCCACCTGAAACGAAGCCCACCATACCCAGCAGACGAAATAGTCAGAATTTGAACATTTTCCGCCTTTTCCCACCTCGCTATCTGGCTAAAAAGAGCCACAGCGGAGCTCCAGCTTCAGCCTCAGTCAGCATCCTGACCGCCATCTTCCGTTGGGAGCAGTTCGGCTAGCAGGGAAAAAAAACTCTCTCCAGTTTCTTTACGGACACAAAACGGACCAGTTCTGCATTAAACCGACTCAAAAATGCGAAGTGAAGTTTTAAAGCAGGCTCAGCTGGTCCTGCAGACACGGGGTATGTCCCAGCGAGAGGGGGAAATGAGACTAGAGGCTGTGAGAAACAGGCTAGCGGGGAACTTCAGCTCCACTCCCCGAGCTGTAGCACTGGGGTCTCCAGCAGCTGCTCGAACTACTGACCACATTAAAAACTGACAGGGCCAAAGGCCACTACACCTTCATCAAAATGCTTACTTTTAGAGTTTCATAAACTTTAAAAAAGGTTATAGGTGCTATATTAGTTGTGAACAGGGTTATAACAGGGATATAATGGAGTACAAGCACTGGGAATACCTATTCAGAATACAATTAAGTGTCTGTATTCAGTCCAGGTTACATTTTGAGAAGGCAGTATTCAGAATAAAGTTATCTTTTATACGTTTAGGAGAGTAAATAAATAAAAAATAAGACAATATTCAAAAGAAACGTCATCAGTGCTTGTTTAACTACTATTAACTAAGGCATTTATTAAACCTGCTAAGAATTCTGAAGAGGACCTCAATTAACCTGTTTACAAACACTGAGCTCTGCTAAAGCCTGAGTAGACTGATAAATCAATGTGATCAGTTATTAATCTCAGCGTTACTGAGCTCTGCTAAAGCCTGAGTAGACTGATAAATCAATGTGATCAGTTATTAATCTCAGTGTTACTGAGCTCTGCTAAAGCCTGAGTAGACTGATAAATCAATGTGATGATCAGTTATTAATCTCAGTGTTACTGAGCTCTGCTAAAGCCTGAGTAGACTGATAAATCAATGTGATCAGTTATTAATCTGTGTTACTGAGCTCTGCTAAAGCCTGAGTAGACTGATAAATCAATGTGATGATCAGTTATTAATCTCAGCGTTACTGAGCTCTGCTAAAGCCTGAGTAGACTGATAAATCAATGTGATGATCAGTTATTAATCTCAGTGTTACTGAGCTCTGCTAAAGCCTGAGTAGACTGATAAATCAATGTGATGATCAGTTATTAATCTCAGTGTTACTGAGCTCTGCTAAAGCCTGAGTAGACTGATAAATTGTAATAGAATATGTTACTGAATATATTTAGGACAGTGTATTCAATATTCAGCCATCACTACTTTTTCAAAGTATTTTGTCCAACGCTGGTTGTAAACTTGCTGGCTACTTTGCTAAAGTCAGCCCTTCTTGATGTAGACATAGATATACATAGGGAGATAGATACGGACTCATTTATATAGAGATATATATACAGTATTTTACAAAGGTCCACACTTTCGACATTCAATTTCCAGTCAAAACAGCCAATAAGTACATGTTATTCTTTTAACAGCATCTGGAAAAAAGCAGATAGCAGAAAATTACACAGAAGACTTAACAACTAAATATAATTACACATTGGTCTGTATTTAGTGTGTCCACTCTTTACTTTTATTACAGCTTCCATTCTTTTCAGGAGACTCACTTTCAGTTTCTCAAGGAATCTGCAGACACACCTCCAAGGAGTGTGTATAAACATATATATATATATATAGTGTATAATATATAGTACAGTATATATTATATTTTAGTAAAGAAAATGGTTCTGTATATATATTAATACAGAACGCTTGAAGAAAATGAATATATATATATATATGTTTATACACACTCTTGACAGTTCTTCAAACGTTCTTTGGTAAAGAAAATGGTTCTATATTGAACCATGAACACTCATAGAACACTTTTCATGATTAAAGGGTTCCGCATTGTGACAGTGTTCTTTAGATTGGTGGAGAATGTGTTGTTTTCGGTTCTATATATAATCTTTTTGAAAAGGGTTCTAAGTAGCACCAAAAAGGTTCTTGACAATGTCAAGCTTGTAACAATAGAAGAACCATTTTTGGTGCTTTTTTCAAAAAGGTTCAATATAGCACCACCTACAGCACATTCTCCATCAATCTGAAGAATGCTTTCACAATGCAAAGTACCCCAGAGGGTTCTTTGAATGTTCATGGTTCTATATCGACCATGTTCTTTACTAAAGAAGCAGCAAAGAACCACCTTTTTCAAGAGTGTATATACATATATTTCTATGTGTGTGTATATATATATATATATATATATATGTGTACATAAACACACACATACACACACACACACACACACACACATATATATATATATATATATATATATATATATATATATATATATATATACATAAACCATTATTTAATATATACATACATAACATATATAATAACTTACAGAGTAGGTTCAAATACCATAAACTAAACACCACAATGCATTTTAATATTTTTTCTTAAATATTCAAGATGTTATATAATAATTAATATACTGTAATTATCTATTCATAGTAATTTCATATCAGCCTCAAGACTTGATCACCACATTTTAAATATGAGGGATTCTGGATAGAACTTCATTCTGGATGTTAATTTCAATAGATCTTCATTCTGGACGTTCTAAAGCTTTCTTAGGCTTAGAACCATCTCCACAGCTCAGTTCATTATTCTGGATTTCTTGTTTTCTCCCCTAGTAATCTGTAATACTCGTTAAGTATCCAGGAGTAACTACAGTTACTGTTGAACTTACTATAAGATTCTTATAGGAGTACTTTAGTCCTGTAGTATTACTACAACTCTTTTTCATAAGGGATAAAAAAGTCATATATCACATCAGAAAAAAACATATTTTCCTTAAATTAAAAGAAGGCTATTGTAGAAGCATTAATACGTTTTAATAAAGAAATTATAGAAGTCCTATCCCAACAGTGTACGTCATGTTACAATCAAGAATAATAAAAAGATGATTCTATAATTGGCTTCTTATTTAACAGCTTTTTATTTGAATTTTCTATTCCATCTTAAAAGTGCAACAGCTGAATGCTGTATCATTTAAGGTGGAACAGAAAACTGAAGATATTTCAGATTGATTTGCTTCTTGTAGGACCGTATAAGTCGTCTGCACTGGCTGAGTATATCTTCACAGTGTGGTCTCCGCTGTCCAAGACAATCAGAGAGTTTTGCTCTGTTGCCACCAGCCCTACTGGACGCTCTAGTCCGGCCTTCACCAGTGGAGACAGAGTGGGTGTTTCCTGCAGGTCACTCAAACTCCACACGAGGCCTTGTTGGGCATCAGCCACAATCAGATCCCCTTTTCTGTCAAAGGTAGCGTAGGAGATGTCTAACTGCATCGGGTTCAGGAGGTTCAGGCTCAAACGGTCCACCTGCGTTAGGAGGACAAAGTCTTCGCTGAACAGCTTCAGCCGTGTTGGTATGGACTCTCCACTGTGCCGTCTTTGGGCCTCCAGCACTGCAACACGTCCAGAAACTCTACAAGAAGCCACAGCTCTTGGGCACTGAAGGTCCTTCAAGACCACCACCTTAGCCACCACTACGTTGCACCTATGGTCCATTACTACCTGCCAAAGTAGCCCTGCTTGAGCGTCGGTCACCAGAAAGCGCCCATATTTGTCCACATCAACACCCCATGGCAGCTCAAAAGGCCCAAAGTCGGCCAGAGGAGTTCCTCTGGAGGAGAAGACCTTAACCGAATGGTCACCTGCATCAGTCACCACAATATGGCCAATGGGAGTTACTGCAACATCAAGAGGGTGGCAGAGTTCAGACCGGCCATGACCATAATAGCCAAAACTGTGCAGATAGTGACCCTGAGAGTTGAAAATGGTAACCTTCTTGTGACCTCCATGGACCACCACCACTGCCGCAGATCCCAGTACAGCTACACCGGTTGGGTTAATGAGTTCACCCCAACCTCCAAAGGCAGTTTGAAGACGCATGAGGCCCGAACCCAGTCCTTCCACCCAGGACTGGACCCCCCTTTCAAGGTGTGAAAGATTTGACCAAGAAGAGTCTGAACCAAGCGTATTTGGACGTTCTGCCGAACCAAGGAGGTCCTGAAGGTCAAGCAGGGCCTGGCAGTCATAGGTACCACCAACATCGCACCTCCGCCTACAGAAAGGACACTCCAGCTGGCGCAAGACAGCATGTGCCAGGGCACAGACACATCCCAGACAGATCACATGACCGCAGGGCAGATTCCTGGGCCTCCTTCCGGTCTGCTCTGAGGAGAACCTCTCAAAGCATACCTTACACTCCAGAAGGTCAGAGCGGATCTCCGCCAGAACCTCCTCAGCTCCTTTCGCCCTTCCACAGCTGCTGGACCGAGAGACAAGAGCTTCAGACATGTCCTCTTACTGCTTGGCTTGGAGAAAGACAGAAAGAAAACAGAAGCCAGGAGTCAGAGCTTCACTACAGCACCATGTTTCCTGCAGGCCGCAAGATCATGTGACACAGGCTGTCAGAATGAAGCGCCTTTGCTGCCATCTAGTGGTAAAGAGACGTATTACTTCATTAGAAAAACTGCTGCTTCAAGAGGAATTCCAATATTTTCTGAATATTTATGCATAACTTAATCATTAAGATGTAAACAGAGTCGTTCAGAGTGGTTTGGTGCAAAACGCTCTGTTCTAGAGAAACTTGCCGAGTCAGAATTGTTCACAGTGGTGGTGACAGGAACCAGACGTCCACCTCTAAAAGCTCCCTCACAGAAAGTTACTACAGTAAATGGATATGATTACGCAGCCTGATGTCTGAGACACCGTTTTACGATAATTTTGAGAACATTTTAGCCCTAAAATCCATTCTTGGTGGAGGGATACATGCAGGGTGCTGTGAGGAATTATTTCAGATTTATCACTATTTTCCATCATCAACATTCCATATAAACCCAGAAGACTCGTGTAGGTTCACTGGTGGTTTTGGATAGTAAATAAAATGTCTATATTTGTGTTGTAGTCATGGTGACCCCTGGTTCCTATCACCCCCACTGTAAAGGCATCTGAACCATTTCACACCAAACCACTCTGAATGAACATCTCACATACTGAGTTATGCAGAAATTTTGAAAACAGTTTAAAGGGCCCATATCTTGGAAAAATACATTTCCATCACTTTTTTTAAATGAAGATGTTTGATGTAGTATGTAAACACTGTTAAAGTTTCAAATTGTACTGTTTACCTCCCCACAGTCTATATATGGAGACTGAATTCAAAACAAGCTAAATTTGTTTAGTGTTTTTGTGATGTCACAGAAAAGTCCCTTTACATAAATGATATGTCCACCTATTCCATCCACAGCAGTTCAGCCCCGCCCACTCACACTGAAGTTATAAGAAGTGTTTCAGCCTGGATAAGTTTTTGCATGAGGCCAGCCAATCAGAACAGAGCTCATTTACATGTATCAGTCCTAAAGAGTAACAAAAACAGCCTGTTTGATTCTAAGGGATGATGAAAGGTTGGAAAATGGCCATGTAGAAATGAATTATGACTGGTTTTGGTACATAAAATGTACATGGAAAAGAAATATGTAGGATACGGGCCCTTTAAAGGAATAACTTATTATTGAAAAATTTAATTTTTGCAGTTTTCTCCTTCTAAATTGCTCAGTAATCCATAACAGACTTGATTATGTGGGTCATTCTCCATTTGTAGTGGGAAACCATGTCACAAAGGTTGCAGGGCTTAAAAAGATGCTTAAAATATGAGACACAGCTCCAAAAGTCAGTATGTACATTTACACAGCTGAAGATTAAGTAAAACTCTTCCCTTATGATTCTCTGAGGTTTCTTTTATTATCCTGTTTCATAGTCGCTCTGCATCTGTAAAACAGCTCATCACAAAAGCAATTTTCAAACCATTTTTAATATAAAACAATATTTTTAAGAGGTTTAATTTAGGAATTTGTATAAAACAGATTCATGTTTACTTTTTATATCATTAATGTTTTACTACATTTAAAATATGTGTTTTATTTTAAAAAATTAATTTCTCACAGAGATTTTGGTCCCTGGTGTTATCAGGACTCTTTTACCACAGTATTTTCAGCTCTATTAAACTGCCTCTTTGGGTCGAGGCTCATCAGAGAGGAAGCGTCTCAAGGCCTGAGAAGGCGAGTCACACTCGCTCACTATATTTCATTTAGTAATAATTTTGTTTATCAGGCAGCTCAGAACTTCTATGTGTCACTGGTGTTTTGTGCTTTAATGGGCTGGGTAATTAAAATTTTGTCTAAATAATTCCAAAATATCATTTTTATTACTGATTTTAAACAGTTGCACAAGGTCACCTGATCAGACAACGAGTCAGCCAATTTACAAAATCCTCAGTTTGAACCAGAATGTCACTGGAGTCACCGTCACTGGAGTTACACCATATTCATACAACACCAGTGACTGTAAAATGTGTTTGGAATTAAGTGCATATTACTGCATATGTGATAGTAGGAGATGTTAATGGACATATTAAGATATTAAGTTTCTGACTCTGTATGACTCGCTGTTCTAAAAAGACAGACTGAATGTATGTTGCATAGCAAAAAACAGCAGCAGCTATTTAAAGGATGATTTTAGCGGAAACACAAGGCAGGTGTTTCTATTAAAGTGGCCAGTTAGTGGAAGTACAAGGTAGGTGTTTCTAATAAAGTGGCCAGTTAGTGGAAGTACAAGGTAGATGTTTCTAATTAAGTGGCCAGTTAGTGGAAGTACAAGGTAGGTGTTTCTAATAAAGTGGCCAGTGAGTGGAAGTACAAGGTAGGTGCTTTCTAATAAAGTGGCCAGTGAGCAGAAGTACAACTTAGGTGTTTCTAACAGCAAAAAACAGCAGCAGCAATTTAAAGGCTGAATTTTATCACTGTGAACGTTGTATAATTTTTCTTCTTCAAAAAGTATTTTTGGGATTTAATTATGAATTACAATTATAAAAACTATTATAAACTGTTAATAATGAACTATTTTTAATTAATATTAATATTTAGGCCCTAAATATCAACTGGGAGAAGACAGACATAATTTCATAATGATTATCATAGACATTTTATTCTGATGCAGTTCAGTTCACCCAACATCCATTTTGATCTGCCAGTGAAGGTTTTTTCTTAGAGGGCGTCTGAGACTGATTTAGCCTGAAATGTGACCCCTTTATGAGCGGAGCAGGTTTATTTTTGTCCGACGCAGACACTGGACACTTGCTTGGGTGCCACTGTCCGTCAAAACAGCCCACAATTCAGCGGTCATTCAAGGTGTCCATAAAATGACATTCATACCAGACGTGTTTTCCTATCAGCAGCTTCATACAGCTGCTCCATCCGGTCCCTGCAGATCAGACATCATGCATTTATAGACGGACACTAAATAACAGCATGAAACGTGTTTGTTATTTGTCAAACGTGGTCTGACACAAGCATCAATATGCTGTTATATCTTTGTTCAGACTCACTGTTCGGTTAAAGAAACAGTAAATAAACCTCCTGGCTACTTTTTCAGAATCCCCTCGCTTGTAGCTCCACCTTGCTGGTGTTCAGTTAAAGACTGTAGCTCATCTCTTGATGTACAGAATCTGAGCCATTTTCCAGTCTTTCCTCAGTAGTGAATAACTGTGGAAGCACAAGGTTGGTGTTTCTAATAAAGTGGCCAGTTAGTGGAAGCACAAGGTAGGTGTTTCTAATAAAGTGGCCACTTAGCGGAAGCACAAGGCAGGTGTTTCTAATAAAGTGACCAGTGACTGAAAACACATGATAGGTGTTTCTAATAAAGTGGCCAGTTAGTGGAAGCACAAGGTTGGTGTTTCTAATAAAGTGGCCAGTGAGTAGAAGTACAAGGTAGGTGTTTCAAATAAAGTGGCCAGTTAGTGGAAGTACAAGGTGGGTGTTTCTAATAAAGTGACCAGTGACTGAAAACACATGATAGGTGTTTCTAATAAAGTGGCCAGCCATTATTAACATTACAAGGGTTGCCATAGAATACAGAATAATAATAATAAAAAAAGAAGTCCTAAAAATAAAAAAGTGGTAAAAAATGAGAGATCCACAAAAAAACCGTCACAGAAAGAAGAAATTTAATCTGAAATGCAGTGACAGCTCAAATAATTACATATAATAACTACACCATAACACACATTACTCTGTGGAAATACTTTATAAACAGTGAAAAGTTGTAAAACTGAAATGTGTATTCTCTCTCTCTGTGTATGAAACGTGTATATATTGCTTTCTAGTTCATGCTATGGTCCAATCTGATATACTGCATATTGGCTAGTGTCAGCTGTACTAAACCAAACCAGCCCAGATTTAAAAACAGACTCAAACAGGTGGGACTGTGTAGACCTGTGGGATATGTAGATGAAGCTTAAAACAGTTATAGGTGGTTGTAGATGTTAAAACATGCGTTTTTGCTCTCGAATACTCACAAAGGTCTCACACTGTCAGATTAAAGCAGCCGTCCTGTTAATAACCACTGCAAACCCAGACAGGTTAAAGGCAAACGCGCTCTGGTGGCTGCTTTACTGCTAATGTCTGTTGTGCTACAGCAGACACGCGTGGAAAAAGAAGGCATTTTATATTTTTCACAGCAGATAAACAAAAACAAACAAGGTATAATGTTAACAGGAGATTTTGGCAAATGAATGTGGAGCTGTAGTTGAGCAGTTTGAAGCGTGGGGGGCTCAGACCACACTGAGGGAACGGCAGGACTGTCATGAAAACAGGAACATCTTCTGTGGGCCATTTCTGAGTTAGCCAGGTAACTTAAAAGGGGAATTCCACCAATGTTTTAAACTTTCTGCATAATTAAATGATTAACATGTAAACAAAGGCATTCAGAGCGGTTTGGTGTAAAATGCTCTGTTCTAGAGAAACTTGCCGAGTCAGGATAGTTCACAGTGGTGGTGATAGGAACCAGACGAAATGGTTACGAACACCATTTTTGAGCAGATTTATTTTTTTGGCTTATAATTTTTTAACTCATTCCTAGTGGAGAGATACGTGCAGCAAAATAGCCCCTTAAAAAACGTATTTTTTTCAGATTTATGTCTATTTTCCCATCATCAACATTCCATATAAGCTCAGAAGACTCATGTAGGTTCACTGGTGGTTTTGGATGGTAAATAAAATGTCTATATTTGTGTTGTAGTCATGGCGACCCCTGGTTCCTATCACCACCACTGTAAAGACATCTCAGTCTCTACAATCAAACATTTCACACCAAACCACTCAATGAGTTTGTTATTAACTGCTTGGGGATGTATTAAGAGACAAGTTTTGGGTGACTATTGACTTCTAGTGTTTGCTTAGCAAAGTTAGCCTCATATCTCCAGCTCCAAACTAACAACATTTTTTTTACATCTCAAATACTGAACTACGCATTTTGAAATTTTGAACAGTTGGTGGAATTGCCCTTTAATTTGGTAGCTTGGCTGTCATAAATCTAATTTACAATTTTCCTCTTTTAGTCAAAATGCAAAACTAAAGAGGCAAACTTAACATTAGATTTGATCTAAGGAGAAAGTTTTACATTCAAATTTTGGCCAAACTACCATTTTAAGCCCAAAGTCAAAGTCCATTGGAAGGAGAGGTCAGTTATGGTCCTACTGGACAGTCCTAACTTTGGGCTTAAGTTTTCCAGCTTACTGAGAAATTCCTGAAATCACACGGACACAACGGCGAGGCTTCATCACGTAAAGAACAGTGATACAGTGATATAACGGAAAGTTAGCAAGTGTTACTCATTAGTGCACCAACTCATACAGGCACATTCAAAAGGTTTCGCTTCACTGATGAACAAAAGCGCAGATATTCCAGGGGCTTCAGGGCTGTATATGGCTACGTTCACATTACCAGGCTGAAGTGACACAAATCCGATTTTTGCCCTAATGTGACTCAGATCTGATGTTTTCAGAGCTGTGTGGACACAAATCTGATCTTTTCCTATCCGACCTGAGTCACTTTCATATGTGGTCCTAGATCGGATCTGTATCCGATTCGTGGCCATGTGACCTTAATGTGACACTCAGATCAGAATTCATGTGTTTTTCCACTGCGCTGCGCCATCATTCGGCGTTACCATGGCAGCAGCGCCGAACAGACGCTAAAGCCTGTAAACGGTGGAAAAGCAGCTCATCTCACCATTTTCTCCTTCGTCTCGCTCTAATAATGAAGCTGAGAGCTGATCAGAGTTAATTATCTTCTCAGCGAAGCTCGTTAGTTTGTGCTGATGATGAACGTGATTCATTCACGTGACGTTACTGAGTAGGATGAGCTCATGAGGGTCATTTCAGGACGCCGGTTCGTCACATTAATGACAGATTTGAGTCACTTACCTAAACGAGTGTGAACCATCGTGTCAGAGAGATCGGATTTGAGCAAAAAATCTGATTTGAGCAACGAGGCTTGTGATGTGAACGTAGCCTATGTCACAAAGCAGGATCTCTCAGTGACTGAAAGAAATACTCCAGCAATTTTCAATATAATCTCCACCTGCTGCAGCTGCAGAGTACAGCCGATTACCATGATTAATAATTTCAACATGATTAATAATTTCAACATGATTAATAATTCCCTGCACTTAGAAAAGAACAGAAAAGCCTCCGACTCACTCACTGATAATAGAAGTTAATGGGCAGTTGCTTCAGCATCTATTAACAGCGTGTTTTTAGAGAAGGTTGTAAAAAGGCTGGGGAACTCCTTTACAGAGGAATTTTTCAAAATTTCTGCATAATAAAATGGTTATTCAGAGTGGTTTGATGTGAAATCCTCCATATTTCTGAGTCAGAATGGTTCACAGTGCTGGTGATAGGAGCCAGACATCCACCTCTAAAAGCTCCCTCACAGAAAGTTAAATGAAATGGTAATGACGGAGACATTGTTTAACTAGGTTTTGACCAAAAACATAGTATTTTTAAAAGCCATTCATGGCAGAGGGGCACATACAGATCACTATATTATTTATTATAGTACAATACACTTAATTAATAAACTACATAAGGGTATGTAATGTAAGGGTATAATTGTCACAGGGAAATTTTACCAATTTTCATCCATTTCGGTCTAAAACATATTGCAAAATTGCAAAATAGCCCCTAAAGAAAAAGTATTTTTCTTTCACTGCCTTATTTTTCATCACTGCTTGATGCCTGAGACATCATGTCACGATAGTTTTGAGAAGATTTTGCCCTAAAATGTATCATAATCCATTCATTGTGGAGGGATACATGCAGTGCGATTTTGCATTGTGAGGCAAAATAGTCCCAAATGAAAACATATTTTTTTCAGATTTATGACTATTTTACCACATATAAACTCAGAAGACTCGTGTAGGTTCACTGGTGGTTTTGGATAGTAAATAAAATGTCTATATTTGTGTTGTAGTCACGGCAACCCCTGGTTCCTATCACCACCACTGTAAAGACATCTGAACCATTTCACACCAAACCACTCTGAATCACTCTGTTCACATCATTACGCAGAAATTTTCAAAAATCTGTGAAATTCCCCTTTAGGTTCAAAGTGGGAACATGCCTGGCCTTTTCACCTGACTTTGGGGTCGAGCTGTCAAGCTAACTGAGAAATCCTGCTTTGTGAAGATCGCAAATGTCCATTCTGTTGACATTAAGCGGCCTAAGACGTCCGGATTACAGCTAAAACTAGTGACCATGATCACAAACACAGTGAAGACACGTAATGGACTGGCAGCTTCCAGTACAAACTAACTGGCCCTAACAGAAAGTGCTTAAACCGTGTGCTTCTGACACCACATTCATCCTGAATTACTACCAAAGCAGCTTTTAAATCACTTTGTGCGTTTGACCTGTAACATTAGCTACGCGGACACTCATACTGGCCAACGAAGTAGGTTCAGCAGTGTTTCCCTACATTACACATTAAACACCTCAGCTAAACAGAGTTATGATAAAAACGAATGAGCGAAAGACGATAGAAGGCAGTTAATGCTGCGCACGCCAGGTCAGGCTAACCAGCTGTGTTTCCAATTCACTGCTAACATTATTAGCATCGTCTTGGGCAAAGGATTCTTTATTAAAGTGGTCTAATCTACACAGTTCAACTCTTTCCCCAACTGTAGTCGACCACGCGAGACATTTTGATTTCGGCAGTTCAATTCCTTGTTTTTGTACAGGAGCTACGAGGCTAATGTAGCTAACAAGTAATGGAAGCTATGTTGTTAGCAGTTAGCATAGTGCAAACTGAAGTTTATCAGGACTAAAACATGTTTGAGATGTTTGAAAAGCACAGATTGATGAACAAACTTGTTAAAGCGGAAGGTCATCTCTATTTGGACAACTGAGTAAAATATTACTGTAAATGACTATTTAATTAAATTAATGTATGATTTAATGACGTCTTATGGTCACTACAGGCCAATGTAACTGGTTTTATCACGAGAAATATTAGGTTTTATTCAGCACTCAAGGTGACGCGCTGATTTGGGTCAGAATTTTTTGGACCCAGGTCAGTCTCGGACTAAAAACTAGACGACGTGGTTTGGGTTGGGTCGGGTTCATTACAGAATTTTGTTGGGCTCAGGTCAGTTTCGGACTAAAAACTTTGATGCGATTCGGGTTGGGTTGGGTTCGTACAGAATTTTTTTGGGCTCAGGTCAGTTTCGGACTTAAAACTAGATGACGTGGTTCGGGTTGGCCTGGGTTCTTACAGAATTCTGCTGGGCTTGGGTCAGTTTTGGAATAAAAACTAGATAATGTGGTTTGGGTTGGGCCTGATTGTTACAGAATCTTGTTGGGCTCGGGTCAGTTTCAGACTAAAAAACTTCACATGGATCAACTTGGCTCAGGTTCTTATAGAATCGTGTTGGGCTCGGGTCAGTTTCGGACTAAAAACTTGATGACATGGTTCGGGTTGGCTCGGGTTCTTACAGAATCTTGTTGGGTTTGTTTGAGTTTCGGACTAAAAACTTAATGAAATGGTTCAGGTTGGGTCGGGTTCTAACAGAATTCTGTTGGGCTTGGGTCAGTTTCGGACTAAAAACTTGACGTAGTTCGGGTTGGCCTGGGTTCTTACAGAGTCTTGTTGGGTTTGGGTCATTTTCGGACTAAAAACTTGATGATGCGGTTCGGGCTGGGCCTGATTGTTACAGAATCTTGTTGGGCTCGGGTCAGTTTCAGACTAAAAACTTCACATGGTTCGACTTGGCTCAGGTTCTTACAGAATCGTGCTGGGCTCAGGTCAGTTTTGGACTAAAACTTGATGACATGGTTCGGGTTAGGTTGGGTTCTCACAGAATTCTGTTCGGCTCGGGTCAGTTTCAGACTAAAAACTTGATGTGGTTTGGTTTTGTTGGGCTTCGGTCAGTTTTGAACTGAAAACTTGATGACTTGGTCCGGGCTGGCCTGGGTTCTTACAGAATTTTATTGGGCTTGGGTCAGTCTTGTCATAAAAACTAGATGACGTGTTTTAGGTTGGGTCGGGTTCTTACAGAACCTGTTGGGCTTTCATCAGCTAAAACTTGATGATGTGGTCGATGGGTCCACTGTTCGGGTCAGTTTCGGACTAAAAACTTCATGACCTGGATCGTGTCAGGTTCTTACAGAAATTTGTTGGCCACAATTCCGGTTCGGAATGCTGTGGCTCGGGCTCAGACCAAAATTTTTATGTTTTATGGACAAAACTCAGGGTGCTCCTACTGTTCAGCCATGCTAGTGCAGTTTAGTCCATGTTTATAGACAATAGTGAGTCATGCAGTGTCAGAAATCACAGAATTAAGTCTATTAGAGATCATTAAACAACTCCACATGGTTTAAGGGCAGCGAGTGATTATTTCGGTATGCAAATAGCATGTTAGCTACGTTATCCTCACAGCTCCAGTGCTAAAACTAAACAAGAACCAAAACACAGCAACAAAATCTGAAGTAAGAAGGGAAAACTGTGTAAATCTGATTTTTCACTGAACTATTCCTTAAAGATGTGATGTAACATGAATGTGCGCCCACTCAAATGCTTTGCTTCCAGTTAACGTCACGAGCGAATGAATTGAAGAAATGTGATATACAAATAGCTGAAGTGGACAAAATGGACAAAACCTTAGTTGCGTGGTCATAAAACACAAAACAGTCAGTCATTCAACACAGAAAACACTATAACAAATACTGCAATACGGGAGATTAATGTGGCTTAATTCAGTGTGCACTCTGAAAGCTGCTCACCACATCATCATCATCATCAAACCTTCAGCGCCGCCCGGTGGCAGTGCCAGCCACAAACGCTACTGAAATGCTCCTAATAAAAAACCTCAGACGAAAGAGACGCGCCCCGTCCTGATGTATTCCCTCCATCATCTGGAAGGGTCAAACGCTCTCCTGCTCCTCTTCTTCTCTTTCTCCTACGGTGTATCAGTTCTGCATCAGCGTCTGCGGAATGGTCCTGTTTTATTTTTCCACTCCGTTGACGGAGTTGCTTTTTCCGGAGCTTCTCCCTCTCCTCCTGGTGGCGGAAGCCGTGGAGTCTGTCTCAAAGTCTCCTGCGTCCACACAAAAACACACAATCACAATCAGTGACAATCAAAACATTTCAGGTTTGTGTAATGACTGCTACATCTGTTGTAAATATAGTGGAAGCACAATGTAGGCGTTTCTAATAAAGTGGCCACTTAGTTGAAGCACAAGGTACGTGTTTCTAATAAAGTGGCCAGTGAGTGGAAGCACAAAGTAGGTGCTTCTAAAATATTGGCCAGGTAGTGGAAGCACAAGGTAGGTGTTTCTAATAAAGTGGCCAGGTAGTGGAAGTACAAGGTAGGTGTTTCTAATAAAGTGACCAGTTAGTGGAAGCACAAGGTAGGTGTTTCTAATAAAGTGGCCAGTGAGTAGAAGTACAAGGTAGGTGTTTCTAATAAAGTGACCAGTTAGTGGAAGCACAAGGTAGGTGTTTCTAATAAAGTGGCCAGGTAGTGGAAGCACAAGGTAGGTGTTTCTAATAAAGTGACCAGTGAGAAGAAGCACAAGACAGGTGTTTCTAATAAAGTGGCCAGTGAGTAGAAGTACAAGGTAGGTGTTTCTAATAAAGTGGCCAGGTAGTGGAAGCACAAGGTAGGTGTTTCTAATTAAGTGGCCAGTGAGTGGAAGTACAAGGTAGGTGTTTCTAATAAAGTGGCCAGGTAGTGGAAGCACAAGGTAGGTGTTTCTAATAAAGTGGCCAGGTAGTTGAAGTACAAGGTGGGTGTTTCTAACAAAGTGGCCAGTGAGTGGAAGTCAGTAGTCAATAACTGACCCCAGAGCTGCTCTTGGCTGGATATTTTGGGTGGCTGACCACTTTCAATCTGGTCAGCAGCAGCATTGCAGTCAGCAATTAATGGGAGGGCTGATGAATTGTGCAGCAACAGATGAACAGTCCGTAACTGTACACCTACATAGTGGAGCTATAACGCAGGCGTTTCTAATAAAGTGGCCAGCGAGCGCAGAATGAACATGTTTTCTTTTATTTCACCACTAGAGGTCGCTCTCTAGCAGATCAGATCTACAGCAAACGTGTTCCGCTCAGTCTACACAGACTTGAAGACGTTTCAAAAGATTTTCTCACGCACAGGGTTTTTTTTATACCTTTCACACACTCGTTGTCTCCGCTCTCGGCGTAAATGCTGTCCTCGCACTCCGAAAGACTCTACGGAAGAGGGAAACATTAACATGACCTTCACAACTACAAATGGGTGAAACCACTCAGCAGCTACAGTGTGTTTGTCTCATGCCATCATAAAAAAAAATACAGTGTGATGCATTTATTTTTAAGGGTGGTGATTCAACTGCATCACATTTGGAGCGTTATTTAATCATGTATGTGCTCATTTTTTAGCCATTAATAAAAGTCCAAGCCTATTTTCTAATATAAAAATTTTAAAAAAGGCTTGGTTGGTATTGTTACTGGTTTTATTCCATTTGCAGAAATTTACTCTGTAAATTTTTCAATATAATTGTAAATCATGCAAACATACATTTCATAAAAGCCCCATCTATTATTTGTACTCAACATCTGCAATATTTATTTATTTAACCAAACCAACTAACAAAAAAGGCTCTCCTGGTTCTCTGCGTACTCTGTATCAGTTCCCACATTTAGACAGTTTGGCATGTTTTGGCGCACTGTGTTTGTTTTGGCAGCTGACTGTATTTGTTTCTGACCTTCTCTCTGGGTCCGTAGGTCTCAGCGTACCACACCATCCCGTACAGGCAGAGGAACGTAATGAAGGCCTGGACGAGTGAAGACAGACACGGCACGATCAGCGAATCACAGAATCAACAGAACAAAACGATAAGCGGCACATTCACAACCTGGAATTAGACTTTTGTGTTCCAGAGAAAATTTGAAGGAGAATCTGAGCACTTTTTACAGCCCTAAGAGTCATTATTGATAAAAAAAGCATGCTGTAATTTTTATATGAATTATTTCTGGTTAATAATTTATTAAAACAAGTGAATAAACTGAGGGGAAAGTGCAGATTCTAAACCTTCAATCTACACCACATTAGTAATTAGAAGAGGAGATATTTTACTATGATTTGAATTTGATCATAAGTCGTTGTTGTACAGTCTTGTTTTGCGGAGAGAGAAAAACCTCAGAGCAAACGTTTTTGATGTCGATACAAATACAGAAGTGCAGATTCAAACCAGCTCATGCAGAATGTAAGAGGATATAAATGTAATTCAGTATGAAACTAATATAATTAATATATAATTACATTTAAACAGTGTAGAAAAACCTGCCGAATATTATAAACTATTTTATAATAATCAATAATGGAAGTCTTACCACACACAGGAGCCACAGGATCACGTAGAGGATCTGCGTCTTGGAGAAAAGATCCTGACCAAACTTGATGCAAGCTAACGCCTCGAGAAAAGCGATGGCCCTGAAAGAGGGACGAATAAAACAGAGAGATGAATATTGCAACAGATTAATCAAGATTAACAGACAGATTAATCAATAAATTAAGTAATTTGGTGTCATAACATTGGTTTACAAATATTAAACAAATTACAAAGTACAAATATTGATAATTAAAAACACATGTCTATTTAATAATATAAGTTTATTATTACAAAATAATTTACTCAATAAACTATTAGTTAAATTAATTAAATAATATTAGTTGATACAATAATATACAATTAATTTATTGTATTATTATGTTATACACATATATTTATTATATATTTAATATTTATTATATATTATACTGCTATTATTTTGTATTCACATATGATATTTTTAAATAATACTTTCATTTATTATATACATGTATCATTCAAACATAATTAACAAATGATTACCTAAATATTAAATTAAATATTAAGTAAAGTAAACGATGAAAAAATTATATAAGTTTAAAATAAAACATATTTAATTAAAAAACTATTAGTCTTTTAAATAATATAATATGTTTATTACAAAACCATTTACTTAAGAAACTATTAGTTAATAAATAAGTTTATTATTTATTATTATTATTATTATTATTAAAAATAATAAATGTAATTAATAAACTACTAGTTTATTAAATAATATAAGTGTATGATTCTAAGATAAACTTAAAGGGGGAATTTCACCAATTTTCATCCATTTCGGTCTAAAACGTGTTTTTAAAAACACATTCATGGTGGAGGGAGACATGCAGGGCGCTGTGAGGCAAAATAGTCCCAAAAGAATTTTTTTTTTCAGATTTTCCACTATTTACCATCATCAACGTTCCATATAAACTCAGAAGACTCGTGTAGGTTCACTGGTGGTTCTGGATAGTAAATAAAATGTCTATATTTGTGTTGTAGTCATGGCGACCCCTGGTTCCTATCACCACCACTGTAAAGAGATCTGAACCATTTCACACCAAACCACTCTGAATCTCTCTGATTACATCTCACACATGAAATTATAGAGAAATTTAGAAAGACTGGTGGAATTCCCCTTTAATGAATAAGATAAGGACAGAGAAACGTAACGGCCTGGTGAATCTACAGTCCTCAAAGCGTCATTCAGCGTATTTTCAGGCGTCAGTCAGAATCTGATGGTCTGTTTAAAAGCTCTAAAAGCTCTAAAAGCGAGAGAAACATTCTCTGTTTGATCTGCTGCTGTTTCCACCATCACTAAAGCACCAAGACTCGAGAAGCAGACGCTACGGGGGCTGCAGAGCGGGGGAGAGTGTGTATTAGAGTATTAGTGCGTTAAAGAAGTGAATGTGGGGTGGGTGGGTGGGGGTCTGTGGTTTAAAAGCTTGGCCAACAGCACAGAAACACTAAACACTCTCCACCAGTTAATGACAGCAGCTACAAACGCTGACATCTACACTCCACACCTACCCAACCACATGCCATGGGGTTAACTGGTACGTTCTCACTCTCACACTCACTCACACACACACACACACACACACACACACACACACACACACACACACACTCCCTTCTGTTAACTGTGAGTAGCCAAAGAAAGGGAAAAAACAAAAAGGTTAAATAATGTGGAAACACACAGGTCTGTAGTGGAGAAGAAACACAACAAACACTGCACAATGAGAAGCGGGGAACCTTCAGAGGAGGCCTTAAAGATTTACAGGAACCCAAAAAACAATCGACAGTAACATAACAGTCTGTAATTTTAGTTCTGTTTAATTAATACTGTAGTGTGTATATATATATATATATATATATATATATATATATATATATATATATATATATATATATATATATATATATATATATATAAGTAAGTAACTTTACAGGAGAAAGAAAAAACACACTTTTAAATTTTAAGTCAATGGAACCAGAATTTTTTCCAAGTCATTTTGAGTCGTTTCTTTTGGCCAATTCATGTTGAAATTTACACACAATGTAAAGGACAGTAGGTATTTTCAAATTATGTCAAAAAATGAAAAACAAAAATGGAGATGGTTTTGGTCCAACAGCGGTGATATATATATATATATATATATATATATACATATCAATCTCCTCAATGATAGTGATAAAACACAGCCAGATGGCAATAAAATGACTTCAGGAGGCGAGTTTTGGGCCGTAGTTTCTAAGAACCTGCATGTTCGTGTCACACTTGGTCATTTGATCTCGCTCTACTGATATCATGGACATCGTCGCTCTGGAAACCAAACCACTGATCTCCACAGGAGAAACAGTGTCAGTTATTCCAGCGGTCACTGGCCAGTCAGTGTAAGTTAATGTATTAAGATTTTATTTTATTTTATTTTAAGTAATTTTGGACCATTTCTGTTGCTTTGTTAGTAATTAAATTTGAACAAAGTCCAAACAACAAGTGACATTTTCAAATGATATAAACAAAATGAAAAAAACTACAAAAATGGAGATAAAGGTTTTGTTAAATATGATCTAAAGTAACACTTTATGATATTGTGTATCTATGTGTGAATATAAAGTGCTTTAAACATACAACTGAAGGCTGAGCTCTGACAGTCTGCGTTACACATGCACAGCTCGTATGTGTGACTGAAACTCACCCAAACACCCAGCACTGCGTCCCGACCCGTTTGCACTGCGTGTCTGTTAGATATGCATAATATTGCCTGTAGGAGAGAATTTAAAATGAAATTTATTATATTATTATTGAATCATTTAACACATTAATACTGATTTTCAGTCTCAAAGGGGAATTCCACCAATGTTTTTAAATTTCTGCATAACTCAGTGTGTGAGATGTAAACAGAGTGATTCAGAGTGGTTTGGTGTGAAATGGTTCAGATGTCTTTACAGTGGTGGTGATAGGAACCAGGGGTCACCATGACTACAACACAGATATAGACATTTCATTTACTATTTTACATATTTACTATTTACCTTTTTAGGCCAAAACCTTCTCATAAAACAGTGTCTCAGTCATCAGGCAGTGAATTCATAACCGTTTCATGTTGTAACTTTCTGTGAGGGAGCTTTTAGAGGTGGACGTCTGGTTCCTATCACCACCACTGTGAACAGTTCTGACTCGGGTAAGTTCCTCTAGAACAGAGCGTTTCACACCAAACCGCTCTGAACGACTTGGTGGAATTTCCTTTTAACAGTATTGATGACATTTTCTCCACTATAACATTCTACTCCATTAAACATTCATGTACAGCATGAGAAAATTATATATAAACGCATTCATTGGGGTGGCGAGTGTTTATCTGTTAAACACTCACATTCAAATAAATACAAATAAACAAATAAACAATCCGCTCTGACTGTTCTGTGAGTGAAAGGGTCATCTTAACCATGTCCAAATATCTCCTGGAGGAAGTCCAGTATTTACAAGTACCATCCAACACCTGGTTTATCTAGTCAACTATTATTAAATTAAGTCAAGTGGTGGAATTTAACAAATCCATGTGATGCTGGAGCGCAGCGAGAAGTCAGGAACCAAACCTGTGTTCCTCAAAATTACACATTCATAACTTCACTGAAAAAGTAAACAGTCACTGACTAGAAATAAGAGTGAGAATATTTCATGTGGAAAAAAATATTATTAAGAGGAAAAATTCTGGAACATTAGAATGAAACTGACGGTAGTTATACAAACAAAAAAAGAGAATCTGTAATTAAATATTATATGATTTATTTTATTTATTTGATAGACCTATATATGATTTTATACAATTTAGAATTTTAAATGTAGACACTATACAGACAAAATTAGCCGCTTCAACGTGCTGATCATTTTTTCATATAATCTTTAATATAGTATGTCCTAATAATCAAGTGCTACTAAATAATTCACTACTTCACTATAAATCGCTACACTTTTAGCAAAAATGGGTTCTATATAGAACTGAAAAAGGGTTCTCTGAGTCAACAGTTAAACCCTTTTTGGTGCCATTTTACAAGCGTTCTTTGAAGAACCATAAACAACTGTTTTTGCCCTTTCTAAAGAACCTCTGAAGAACCATTACTAAGAGTGCAGAGTGTGTACTATATGACCAAAAGTATGTGGACTTTAAAAGTGGCACCGTCAGGACACTGCCACTGAAATTTCTGCCCAGGTCAGTTGTCAGGGCTATTATTGTGAAATGGAAGTGTCTCAGAGCAACAACAGCTCAGCCACGAAGCGGTAGACCACCAAACTCACAGAGCGAGACCACCAAGTGCTGAAGTACGTAGCACGTAAAAATCGCTATCCTCTGTTTCATCACTCACTACAGAGCTCCAGACTGCCTCTGGAAGAAACATCAGCACAATAACGGTGCATCGGGAGCTTCATGAAATGGGTCTCCATGACTGAGCATCTGCCTAAGATCTCTATGTGCAATGCCAAGTGCCGGCTGGAGGGGTGTAAAACACGCCGGAGCTGGACTCTGGAGCAGTGGAAACGTGTTCTCTGAGTGATGAATCAGCTTCTCAATCAGTCAGTCTGACGGATGGATCTGGGTTTGGTGGAGGTCAGGAGAACCCTACCTACCATAGTGCACAGTGCCAACAGTAGAGTTTGGTGGAGGAGGGATGATGGGCTGGGCTGTTTTTCAGGGTTTGGATCCCTCAGTTCCAGTGAAGGGTGATGTTGATGCTACAGCACAAAGACATTTTACACAGTTATCTGCTTCCAGCTTTGTGGCGGCAGTTTGGAGAAGACCCTTTCCTGTTCCATCATGACTGAGCCCCTGTGCACAAAGCAGCTCCATAAAGACATGGTTTGATGAGTTTGGTGTGGATGAACTCCAGTGGCCCCCACAGAGCCCTGACCTCAACCCCACTGAACACCTTTGGGATGAACTGGAACATTGATCGTGAGCCAGGCCCTCTCGTCCAACATCAGTGCCTGAACTCACAAATGCTCTTTTGACTGAGTGGGCACACACTCCAACAGACACGCTCCACTAGCATATTAGTGCCCATGGTTTTGGAAAGAGACCTCCAATAAGCTCATATAGGCATGAAGGTCAGGTGTCTACATACTTTTGGCCATATTGTATACTGTAACTAGGCTTCAATTGCCAATTCAAGCAAACAGTTTCCTTTTACTTTGTTTAAAAGCAAAATAAATGATGTTTAAAATACTCTCATCTAAACATAATTTCACGTCATTTTTAGCATTTCTGACGGCTGGACGTAGCAGCAGTCGTCTACAGCAGAGCTCTGAGGTATGAAGTATAATAGAGAGAAAGCACAGCAGATAATTTATTCACTGTGAATACTCAGCTGATATAAGAGGCTATTAAAGGCGCATGACTGCACTAGTGCGGAACCGTGAAGTCTCAAACTGAATTTAGATATTTTGTTCGTCTTTGACTTAAAATGTCATATATATGCGTGTGTGTGTATATATATATATATATATATATATATATATGCGCTGTCGGAACAAAACTCTATTTTGGTTGTTTTTTAGTTTTTGGCATAGTTTAAAATGCCTGTTGCCCTTTACATTATGCATAATTTTTATGATGAATGGACCAAAAGAAAAAGCCCAAAACTACTTGAAAAGACCTCTGGTTCCAATGACTTACATTAAAAGTAAAGTATTTTTTTTCTTTCTTCTGTAAGTTACCATATTGGATATACGAGGTTTTGTTCAGACAGCAGCGATATATATATGCTTTTATATATTGTCTGTATTTCTGCGCATACTTTCATAAATATATACACACACACACACACACATTATTATATATATATATATATATATATATATATATATTAATTACTTATCCTGTAAGGGTTTAAGTATTAATAAACCTGGAAGACGTTCCAGACGTCTGAATATTAATGGCCCTCTGAGAAACTCGATTTGCAGTAACAGCAGTATAAAGTGTAGTGGGACCTGCGGGTGTTTGTGTGGGGTTGCTGACCTCACGGTGGGCGCAGTGATGATGCCGATGAAGAGAATGCGGCACCAGCTGAGAGCGTGGCATGCTGGGAAAACAAATATGTGCTTCAGGAAGAAGGTGTTGAGCTCCGTTAGCTAAGAAGAGAAAACAGAAACACCAAATTGAGAGTTTAGAGGTACATAAAGAGTACAGAGGTATATATTTGGTGCTATATAGAACGCTTTTCTAACAGGTTCTAAATAGATCCATCTACAGCACACTCTGAAGAAGGCTGATTTGACTGGGAATTAAATGTATTAGGGGTGTACATTGTGTAACCAAAAAAAACCCAAAAAAACAGGTGTAAAAGCTGTGAATAGTTAGAGCCGTGAGGGCTGTGAGGTCGTCCAGTTCAAGCGAGTTCAGAGCGGAGCTGCGGTGGAGCTGAGAGCTTCATTATCATCTAATCTGATCACTCTCGCCAGAGAGGACACTCTCACAAACACTCTGGAGAGAACACAGAACTCACTCCCCTGTCTCCCTCTCTCAGATATCACACTATAATTAATATTAAAGAGGCCCAGAGAGAGAGAGAGAGAGAGAGAGAGAGAGAGAGAGAGAGAGAGAGAGAGAGAGAGAGAGAGAGAGAGAGAAAGCAAGCAAGACAAAGAGGGAGAGAACATAGAGAAACAGAGAGAGAGAGAAAGAAAAAGACAAAGAGAGAGGGTAGAAAGAGAAAGAGAGTGAGAGAACCGAGAGATAGACAGAGACAGAGAGACAAAGAGAGATAGAGAGAGAGCGCGAGAGAGAAAATACAGAGAACAGAGAGAGAGAGAGAAAAGGGGGGGGGAGTGGGAGAGAGAGAGACAGACAGAGAGAAAGACAGCAAGACAAAAGGGGAGAAAACAGAGAAATAGAGAGAGAGAGAGGAGAGAGAGAGAGAGAGAGAGAGAGAGAGAGAGAGAGAGAGAGGGGAGAGAGACAACAGAGAGAAAGACAGAAAGAGTGAGGGAGGAGAGAGAGAAAGAGAGAGAGAGAACAGGGAAAAAGAGAGAGACAATAAGGAGGTAAAAAGAGAGAGAAAGAGAGAAGGAAAGAAAGAGAGCAAGAGAGAGAGCGAGAAAAAACAAAGAGAAAGACAAGGGAGGGAGAGATAATTGTTACGTCACATTTTAATCTGTCCGTGCTTCCTTCTTTCTCTTTTTTTATGTTTATTGATAACTGCTGTAGCGATTTTGTATCTTATTACAATTATACTAATAAAGCACAGCTGAGAGAGAGAGAGAGAGAGGGAGAGAGAGGGAGGAAGGGTAGGGAGAGACAGTGGACAGATCAGGAGAGAGAGAGAGACAAAGAGACAGCACAGAGAGAGAGAGGCACACAATAGAGAATGCAGAGGGCTCTTTCCTCGCTGTGGTAGCGCTGTGGGGGGAGGGCAGCGTTTGCTGAATGCTGCTGGGTTTTTACTCAAGTTTCGTCTCTAATGATCTCACTCAGCGCTCATACTTACACGGGTCAACATCACACGCCTGCGAGACACCAAATACCTCACGCCAAAAAATGATAGGTTGTATGTAAATTACATCAAAGGTAAACTAATTTTTCTAAACTTCTGCATAATTAAATGGTTTAGACAACAGAAGTTGTTCAGAGTGGTTTGGTGTGAAACGCTCTGTTCTAGAGAAACTTACAGAGTCAGAACTGTTCACAGTGGTGGTGATAGGAACCAGACGTCCACCTCTAAAAGCTCCCTCACAGAAAGTTACTACATGAAATGGTTATGAATTCACTGCCTGATGACTGAGACACTGTTTTATGATAGTTTTGAGAAGATTTTGGCCTTAAAATCCACTCATGGTGGAGGGATACACTCAGGGTGTTGTGAGGCAAAATAGTCCCGTAAAAACTTATTATTTCAGATCATCAACATTCCATATAAACTCAGAAGACTCGTGTAGGTTCACTGGTGGTTTTGGATAGTAAATAAAATGTCTATATTTGTGTTGTAGTCATGGTGACCCCTGGCTCCTATCACCACCACTGTAAAGACATCAGAACCACCACATCCGAGGTAAGCAGAGAGCATTTGATTTTAAGCCGAACTATTCATTTAAATGCTGAAACACTGTTTAATGCTGCTGAAATGTGTGGATGTTTTCGGGACCCACCTGCCAGACGATCATGAAGAGGTAAACTCCAGTCAGTCTCTGGAAGGAGGATTTGGGGTCAAACCAGCGCACGTAGGTCCAGCTGGCTGGAGTAAACTGCAGGACAGCACGCTTTATCTTCCCCGTGGTGGAGTGGATATCCCTACACACACACACACACACACACACACACACACACACACACACAGAACCGCTGTTAGAGCTCAAATTGCTCTGTGTGTAACATAACCTGCCTGTACTGCATCAAACACGTGCTAGTAAACAATCACATTTGCAGCTTAGCCACATTTCTAATCATGTATTATGATTAAAAAACAAGGAATGAAACTTCTGCAGCATCTCACTGTCACAACAAAACCCTGCAGCTTGTTTTTAATAATTTAACCCTTGTGTGGTGTTCAGGTCTGTGGGACCCATTTTCAATTTTTACCAAAAGAAAAAATTATGATTTATTATTATTTCACCCTCAGATTCTTGGTCTTTGCTCATTTTCTGTGAAGAACATATAAAATAACCCATTTTCAGTGTCTTCACTCTGTTCACCCCCCACACATTTATATTACACATGTGGTGTTGGGTGAACCTGCGGGGAGTAAAAGTGTGGAGGTGCTGTGTCCTTCACTCTGTTCTCCTCTTACATGGCCTCCTGTTAGTGTGTGTGTGTGTGTGAGGGTGGACAACATGGACAGCCGGCTGACTGGCTACAGCTGCTAAAGGAGAACCCTACGCTGGACATTTGTGATATTTTAAACATCTGGAATTTTTATATAAATTGTTTTGGCTGTATTGATTTTAGATAAACAATAATGCGGTGGGTCCAGCAGACCACTCAGTAACACACACATCAACACCACACAGGGTTGAAGCACCAGGAAACCTAAATATGTGTTTTCTGTCTAGCAAGGTTAATCTTGCTCTTGTGGGCCACAACCTCCACATTCAAAACATGCCCTAAATCTGACTTCCTGATGAATGGAAATCCACTAAATGGTCGATGTATGTCCTGGCCAATCACAAGGCTGAAGTGGTTTGTCCCGCCCACACAGCTTTACCCATAATGCCCAATCTCAATTCACCCCCACCCCTACCACTTAGTCCTACCACATCTTTGCATTGTGAAAGGGTTCTTCAGACTGATGGAGAACGTGGACAAAAAAGGTTCTTCTATTGTAACAAGCCTGACACCGTAACAACAGAAGAACCCTTTTCGGGGCAACGTAGAACCCCTTTCGAAGAGCTTCTCTATAGAACAAGCATGAAACGGTTCTTCAGATTGATGGAGATTGTGCTGTAGATGGTTCTGTATAGAACCATTTTGAAAAAGCGTTCGACAGAGCACCAAAAAAGGTTCTTCTATTGTAACAAGCCTGAGATCATAACAGTAGAAGAACCTATTTCGGTGTTATATTGAACCCCTGTCAGAAAGGTTCATGATGAAAATGGTTCTATATAGCACCAAAGAGAGTTCTTCTATTGTTACAATGTCAGGCTTGGTACAATAGAGGAACCTTTTTTGGTGCTATATAGAACCCTTCAACAAAGTTCTATATAGAACCATCTACAGCACATTCTTCATCAATCTGAAGAACCATTTCACTATGCAAAGGGTTCTTTGAGTGTTTGCATTTTCTCTACTAAGGAACCCTTGAAGAACCACATTTTTAATTGTGTGGATGAAGTTTTAGTGAGTGGACACAGCAGGGTCTACAGCACCACCTGTATACGTAGAACCCGTTTCACTCATTTCTCTGCTTCGCTTGTGCTGCTGTGTTCAGTTTCAGTGCTGATCAATTTTAGCCTCATACAAACATCGGTGATACTTCAAACTGTGTTTCCTGAGACTTTAAAACACCAGCTTCCCTGTGTTTTATGACAGAACAAATTTGAAAAGCAAACCTTAAAATAAAACCATCGACACAAAGTTGAGCCTCCTCTTTCAGCTAAAACCGCTGATGTACACCGGTCAGGCATAACATTCTGACCACCTCCCTGTTTCTACACTCATTGTCCATTTTATCAGCTCCACTTACTATATAGGTGCACTTTGTAGTTCTACAGTTACAGACTGTAGTCCATCTGTTTCTCTGATACTTTGTTAGCCCCCTTTTACCCTGTTCTTCAGTGGTCAGGACCCCCATGGACCCTCACAGAGCAGGTACTATTTGGGTAGTGGCTCATTCTCAGCACTGCAGTGACACTGATGTGGTGATGTGTTAGTGTGTGTTGTGCTGGTCTGAGTGGATCAGACACAGCAGTGCTGCTGGAGTTTTTAAACACCTCAGTGTCGCTGCTGGACTGAGAATAGTCCACCAACCAAAATATCCAGCCAACAGCGTCCTGTGGGCAGCGTCCTGTGACCACTGATGAAGGACTAGAGGATGACCAACACAAACTGTGCAGCAGCAGATGAGCTATCGTCTCTGACTTTACATCTACAAGGTGGACTGTCAAGGTAGGAGTGTCTAATAGAGTGGACAGTGAGTGGACAGTGTTTAAAAACTCCAGCAGCACTGCTGTGTCTGATCCACTCAGACCAGCACAACACACACTAACACATCACCACATCAGTGTCACTGCAGTGCTGAGAATGAGCCACTACCCAAATAGTACCTGCTCTGTGAGGGTCCATGGGGGTCCTGACCACTGAAGAACAGGGTAAAAGGGGGCTAACAAAGTATCAGAGAAACAGATGGACTACAGTCTGTAACTGTAGAACTACAAAGTGCACCTATATAGTAAGTGGAGCTGATAAAATGGACAATGAGCGTAGAAACAAGGAGGTGGTCAGAATGTTATGCCTGATCGCAGTATAAAGTATGTTGCGAGTGTATGTACTTGATGCTGGCCCAGTGGTAGGTGCGCATCTCCAGAAAGCGGCAGACGGTCATTCCCAGCCAGATCCCTCCACCATTACACAGCAGGATGTCCAGAATCACCTGATCCCACCAGCACTCCGCAAAGTTCGGCAGGAGGTGCATGAAGAAGAGCTGAGGAGAAGAGAGAGCATTTCAGAGCACTTTAAAAAATCTGGCACGAGGCAGAAAAGCTGCTTTAGGAAAAAAAAAAAACAACAGCTACTGTAAGAAATGTAGGTCATGAAAACTCATTACAGCAGATTAGTTTCAAACAATCACATTTCAGATAATTAGGTGTGACCGCCTGCGCCATAATCCACCCACTATACCTTAACCAGGGGATCAAAATGCTACAGCATTAAAGAGACAGAGAGAAATATCATATTTATAGGGGTTTCAGTCTCTCCCCCTCACCCAAAATTTAAAATTTGCTTCTCATTATGCACTGGAGCCATCAGCTTACTGTCTTAATTAATAAAAGCTTACACAACATCAATTAGCATGATGCTAACTGTATGCCTACATCATCACAGACTTGTCTCAGTCTGTGTGGAGGTGTTCAGTTTCTCTAACAGACCTGATTATGTAGCTTCTATGTAACTTCAGACACCAAAGCCGTGGCTGACTGACCACACGATGGGCCTGCGTTTGTTTCTGAATGAGTTTTTTTCCACCAACTTACCACTCTAATTACCGTCCACCTTAAGCCTAGGGGCGAGTTTAGGCCACCATATACTGGTGGCGATGCTACATGGTGCACCCCAAACATTTTAAATCACTGGTTTTAATGAAGGTGCGCCCATTCTGTTCCAGCAGTGGTCAGTTTCTCTCACTTTTGCCATAACTACGTTAAACTCATAGCCAGACCACAAAAAGCCACATTAGATCACATGACTTGAATTTACACCAATGAAAGCAGCTATTCTACCATCTTTAAGATAAACAGACAAATGCTAACCATGTGTCACCTCAGCTAACACAACTAGCCTGGTCTGAGTCTGTGAATCGTTAGTTAGCTCAGGCTAAATAGGGTAAATTCAGAAATGATGGCGAAAGTTTTATTCCATTAATTTATGAAAGTAGAGGGTAAAAATGAACTTCACGTTTATTGAAACTGTGCTGTATCTGCTGCGCGACACTGCGTGATGCTATGTGGGGCGTCCAGTGTGTGGCTGTTATATACTGAATATGACGTGAAGAAACAATAGGAAAATGCAAAAATATTCAGAGGTGATTTTTTCAGCATCAAAACTACACACGCTGAACGTGATGCAGTTTTTGTCTTGGAATGTTCTTCAAGCCCTAAAAACAGTTATGGCAGAATATATATATATATATAGGAAAGTAGCATGAGGAGCTTAAACACTTCATTCAGAAACGTGCATTCTTCTACATTTAACTCGACGTTTGTAGCTCAGTTTGAGCGGCTTAGGAGATTCTGATCCTTTTAGCGTTTGTGAAAAAGTTCTATTTGCTGGAACTCAGCTGCTCTGTCATCACGGTGGTCGTCAAGCCAGCAGCAAAGGCAATCGTGATTGGTCAGTGAGTTTTTGTTGCAGGCGAACGTTTGCAAAAATCAAGCAATGTCGCATTTTCACAGACTGAAAAATCACGTTTGTGTGAGTGTCGGTTACACGCGCTTGAATTAATTTACTGTCGTCCAAACAAATCGCACAAATAAACTGCAGTGGTGTGTAACGGCCTTTAGAGCGCAGCAGGGGGCGCAGTACCTCAGTAAGCTCCCAGGTGATGCTGATGGTCCAGCAGAGTCCGTAGCTCCGGATCAACAGCGCCTTCATGCCCCAGCCCCAGAAATGACTGAACGCAAAGATATCAAAATGGCTGAGGATTCGCTCCCAGGTGATCACGTGGCAGTTCACTGCGTACTCCTGCAGAGGACGAGAGAGAGTCGGTCAGTCAGCAGAGACGGATAAGAAAGAGCAACAGAATCAAAGCTGAACTGAAAGCATTTCATAAGAAGAGCTGGCGTCTCAGAGCGAGATCAGTGGCCACGAACATCTAAATATTATATACCTGAATATTATCTTCATTTCAATACTTAAGGAAAGATGAGGTGTATATAAGTAATAAATTAAAATTAAAGATTGTTTTAATATTTTACAATTTTACAGTAATTTTACACAGATTTCTTAAAGAAAAGGGAGGTTTGGGTAAAAACGTAATGTCAAAATTCACGATTCAAGGTGTTTTATGAAAGCAGTCACGGCTCTCATCAGTTAACACAGTTCAATTTACTGTAAATATCCAAGGAATCCCAGATCAGCACTTTTACTGTGAAAATTTTGAAAAATGGGCTTCTGGACAGGCTGCTTTGTACTTAATAATATGCCCATAGATCACATTTTTAAGTCCAGTTCTAGCTCTGCTTTTTGCCAAATTACTCCACAAGCAATGAGAAAACAGGAATCTAAAAGCTGCTCTATCAGAAAAAAAAAGCCTTCTATCTTCAAAACAGTAACTTTTTGAAAGAAAAAGCAACCATCAACTTTGAACGAATAAGACTTTGGTAATCTTGGACCATTTCTTTTGTTCCACTCATCATGAAATGTAAACATTTCATTTAAATGGCAGCTGGCATTTTGTAATTCTGCTATATAAATAAAGAAATAAACACATAACTCATTTAATTAAAAGAACAAAAATGAAGATCCAGTCAAAACTATGGCTGAATCACAAAAGGAACAGGAGAGTTCTTTTATCTAGCACACAAACCTGAAGGACTCATATCATGCAGATGAAACCTTCATACTCAGGTCAGAGCGACCCAGAGGACAAATCAGTGTGAATTCAGAACCTCCCCCTACCATGATGTCGGCCTCGCGCTTGGCGTAGCGGAGGTTTGGGTCCAGCCAGTACATCAGGGCCTTCACCTGCTCCCAGTTCAGGAAGATGATGAAGACCAGGAACAAGAAGTAGAGCACGCTCAGACCTGCCGGCCAATCAGAACAGCAGATTTCAAACACAGATTGTTCTGTCCAATAAAATCGGAGTCTCTAGATAAACAATCCAGATACTGGTCACATGAAGTGTAAATGGGGTCTTAGTCGTTACACAATTTACATTCCTGTCAACTTACTCACACACATTCTTCATCATGTGGCAACGAAGCACAAACATGCCTGAGACCCAAACTGGGTCACGACCCAAAGCTTAAGGAACACTGATTTAGACCACTGCAGCAGTGGCTACAGCAGAGTCAGTGAGTGTGTTTACATGCATTCAGTAATCCAATCATAATTGGATTTCTGCCTTTATCTGATTGCCTTTATTCAAATGGTTGTGTAAACAGCACACTCTGATTTCTGAGATCGAAGTGAGATCTAGAAATCTGATTAAGAAATCTGATGAAGAGGCTGGATTTTAGCTCAGTAATCAGACGTCTCAGTGCATGTGAACTCTTACTCTGATTTCTTTCGGATTTCTCAGTCTGAGCATGTGCGAAAACAGACGGCGGTACTGGAAATAAGCGAGCAGCGTCGCCGCGAGACGCAGCAAATCACTTTTGTAGTGATGCAGAAACCAAAAACATGCAAACTGCATGTAGAAATCAAAGCAGAAATCCGATTACTGTCTGACTCATGCAGACCCAGAGTTTCCCCATTATCTGATTACTGAAGTGCATGTAAACGTGTTGATCGGATTACTGACAGAATCTGATTTTCTGCAGTTGTCGGATTACTAAGTGCATGTAAACACACTCAGTGACAGTAATGTGCAAGTGAACAAAGACAGAACAAACACAGAATTTGATAATCAAATCAGACTCCGCTGCTCACCGAACACTATTCTCCATATCGCGGGATGTGGTCTCGTGAATGGACCTGCACAGAACAGAGAAACAATGATTATTCTGCTAATAAAACTCTTATTAAACAGTGCTAACGTATATAACCCACTACAACAGGACTGACCGAACTATCACTCACACGCTACTCAACGCGTCCTTAACTATCAGCTTCTTCATCAGATCAAGGTTCTTACCGTTGGGGAAGGCCAGCACACTGATGACCAAGAAAAAGGAGATGACCACTATAATTCCCACGCGGAGATTGCTGTCCTGATGACTGTCGTCTCTGCAAACAGAAGCCAACAAAACACAATTAGCACTCAGACACTGTTCCACTGCACTTCCCCCATACTGACCATGGAGGATGGACACCCACTGAGTACCGTCCCACAGAGCGAGAACATAAGAACGCAGTGCAACTGAAGGTGGTGATTCGACTGCATTGAGTTTGGAATGTCAGAATCAATAAGAATTGATCATAATAATATTCAATAAAGTGTGCGCTCATTATAGGACCAACACAATCTTCTCAGGCTATTTTCATAAATAATCCCGCCCCCAAAAAGAACTTCAGATTGTGCTGTTTTGCTTTATTGTCTGTGTTCCACTGCTGTGTCAGCTGTGTCTCCAGTTACATTTGCACATTCAAAATTATTTTTAAAGGTTTTCTGTATCATATCAACGCAATCATATCAAACTGTGATGGATGGATGGACGTATGGATAAGTGGATGGACGGACGGATGGATGGATATGATGAAAATGATGAATGAATGGGACGGATATAATGAACGGACTGACAGACGAACAACAGGATGGATAGGATGCATGGACAGATAAGATGGATGGATGGTAGACAGAAAGATAAGATGGATGGACGAAAGACAAATGGAATGGAAAGTATGGATGAATGGTTGGGCAGACAAGATGGATAGACAGGATGGATGAATTGATGGTTAAGATACACAGAAAGGATAAATAGGGTGAACATGATGGATGGATAGAATGGATAGATAAGATGTTTGTGCTGGATGGATAGCACGGATGGATGGAATGGATGGGTAGGATGAATATGATAGATGGATAGAATGGATGGATAGGACGAACACGATGGATGGACAGAATGGATGGATAGGACGAACACGATGGATGGACAGAATGGATGGATAGGACGAACACGATGAATGGATAGAATGGATGGATAGGACGAACACGATGGATGGATAGAATGGATGGATAGGACGAACATGATGGATGGATAGAATGGATGGATAGGACGAACACGATGGATGGATAGAATGGATATGTTGAACAGAATTACAGATGAATGGATAAGATGGACAAGATGCATGGACAGATATGGACACACTGGACTGTTAGATGGACAGTGTGTATAGTACAGATGAACAAACAGGATTGATGGATGGATAAATACCATGAAATATGGACACAATGGGCAGGATGGATAGGCAGCAAGGATGGATGGATGGATGGATGGATGACTAGATAGGATGAGTAGGATGGATGGGTAGCATCAGTGACAAAACACATCAGACACTCCTCTACACCTTACCTGTTCACAGTGACTTTCTGCGCCAGGCAAAGCTTTCAAGGACAGCTGTCTTTGTCAGCTGATAGTGAAACACTGACCTGCTCAGTGGTCAGAAAGAGGGCACCATGCCCCACCCCACAACCCCTCCACGCTAAACAACACACTGCAGCTCTTATTTCAGGGCTACAGATCATTTATAGTTTAATGTTTCTCAGCTCCAGTCCTGGAGTCCACACACACACAGGGACGCTAATGCTGCTAATGAGTGGCTCAAGAAATTGATCTGGGCTGAGTTTTCCAGAAGCACAAAGATGAGCGAGCCTCACACTGAACACTCTCTCTGCCAGTTAAGACGAGGTTATGATCTTATGATGCTTTCAGGAAGCTGGGCCCAGACTGACCACAGCAGCGTGAAGATACTGGACAGATCCAGAACGAGTTTAATGTGGCAATGACATGGATACATGTTAGACATGCTTTTGTCATAGTATTGCTGTAGGATTGAGTGTTGCTATAGTACTCTTGGTACTGCTATGGAGATCAGAATTCATTACAATAACAGTAGTCATTTTTACCATAGTATCGTTTTGGTATCGAGCATTACAGAGCAGTATCGATACCACACAGCATTCTGGTATCATAACATCCCTCCCCACCACCTCATCGAAACTCCTCTGATTTTTAAAAAATTCTACACATTTAAGTGGTTGAGATGTAAACAGAGTGGTTCAGAGCGGTTTGGTGTGGAAAAAGCTCCCTCACAGAAAGTTACTACATGAAATGGTTATGAATTCACTGCCTGATGACTGAGACACTGTTTTATGATAGTTTAGAGAAGATTTTGGTCTTAAAATCTATTCATGGTGGAGGGATACATAACATGCAGGGCGCTGTGAGGCAAAATAGTCCCCAAAAATACTTGTTATTTCACATTATCCACTACTTTACCATCATCAACATTCCATATAAACTCAGAAGACTCGTGTAGTTTCACTGGTGGTTTTGGACAGTAAATGACTATATTTGTTGTGGTCATGGTGACCCCTGGTTCCTATCACCACCACTGCAAAGAGATCTGAACCATTTCACACCAAACCACTCTGAATGGCTCTGTTAACATCTTACACACTGAATTATATAGAAATTTTGAAAAACTGGTGGAGTTCCCCTTTAACGGGGATTTGCCAGGTTTTTTAGGAGTCCGTTATCTCACCGGGCGAAGGCGAAGTACATGAGGCTGAGCAGGGTGCAGGTCAGCAGGGTGATGGTGTGGGGTTTGTAGAAGAACTCGATGGTGATGTCCTCCACTTGCTGCTCGTTGATCATGCGGAAATGCATCCTGTAGTTCACGTCGTCCTTGCTGAGGGTGCGCGCCGCCATGCTGGACACGCGTACACACACACACGCACACAAAGCGGGACTCACACGGACAGAGCGGGGCTGCGCGGCCGCGGCGGAGGATCAAAGCCCGGGACCGAGTCCCTCAGCGCGGATACAGGGCCTGGGCACAGCGGGCATGGATCTGGAGCAGCACAGAGACGCGCAGGGAAGGAGAGGAGATAGTGCGCATGCGCAGAGAGAGGAAAAAGAGGGAAGAAACAAAGCAGCGTTCAACAGCGTCAGATGTTCAACACTACATAACGTACCACTCTAATAAACCGACCTCCACTGGTTTTGACTTACTGTTTATTATGGTAGTTATGCGGTTCAGGACGTGAAGCAAGTGTTAGCAGAGATATTTCGATGGAGAACTCGGAGTGAACTTCCTGTTTGCCTGCTTAGCTTCGTTCTCGCCGACTTCTGGTTCGAACTTTCCGTTCCACCTTAAATGTAGCAGCGGTTGGTGCCATTTAAGGTGGAACGGACATTTCGAACAAGCTTCTCAGTCGCCTGGTTGGTCAAATTTTCCATTCCACCTTAAATCTAGCAGCAGTTGGTGCTATTTAAGGTGGAACAAACATTTCAAACAAGCTTCTCCGTCGCCTGGTTGGTCAGATTTTCCGTAAACTTCGGAACAGCAGCTTCTTCTTCGGCGGCGTCTCGTTCCAATTTTCCGTTCTACCTTAAATGATGCAGGGTCGGTGCGCTATTTAAGGTGGAATGGAAAAGTCGAATTTTTTTAATTATACATTCTGTCAGTCTGTGTACAGACACACAAGGCGTACATTGCAAACAGAGCTCCGTGTTGAACAGAAAAACCAACAGTTCAGAGGGAAAATATATAAATAAATAAAAATAAAATGAAGGCAGCTTAATGAGGATATCAAAAATTGGTGAATTACAGTTAACTGTGTTTGGGCTGTCTTGTTTCTCACACTTTTCAGGGACTTTTAAAACAAATGTTGATCTATCTTTCATAGATAGATAGATAGATAGATATGTATACAAATAGATAGGTATATAATAAGACAGACAGACAGACAGATAGATAGATAGATAGATAGATAGATAGATAGATAGATAGATATGTATACAAATAGATAGGTATATAATTAGACAGACAGATAGATGGATAGATAGATAGATAGATATGTATACAAATAGATAGGTATATAATTAGACAGACAGATAGATAGATAGATAGATAGATAGATAGATAGATAGATAGATAGATAGATAGACAGATAGATAGATAGATAATTAGACATAAAGAGGCTAATAGATAGATAGATAATTAGACATAGATAGATAGATAGATAGATGTTCAGACATATACTTAAAGAAAAATAGACATAAATTAAGTAAACTATGAAGGAGTAGGAATAAGTATATCTATTGCATATTTACATATCATATAAGACAGATCTGTTGTATTTCCATGAGAGCAGGTGTTGCACTAAGTGCTATGAGGTAGTTACAACACAATGAATATGAGCATAACTATGAATATCAGCAGTTTTACAGTGTTAAGTGCGCAGTGAGCGTCATTACAGTAGCAGTTATGATATACTGCACAGTGAGTATTAACAGGAGAGGTGATACAGTGATGAGGTTCAGCGCAGTTCAGACAGCAGGAGATCAGTACCGTCTCTGCAGTAAGGAGACTCGCTGTAGAGCCGTATATCAGTGGGTAAGAAAGATCTCACACGGCCTCTTTAACACAGCGCAGCTGTGACAGTCTGACTGAATGAGCTTCTCTGTTTATCCAGTGTAGCAAGCAGGAGGTGTGGGGTGTTGTCCAGGATGGCTAACAGCTTGTTGAGAGTCCTTTGTTCTTCCACAACCTCCAGAGAATCCAGCTTGACTCCTACAACAGAGCCAGCCTTCCTAACAAGTTTGTTTGTTTTGTTCAGAGCACTTGTGTTAATATTTGGTTGGGAATCGCCTGAGTTCATCCACTCTTGTGTATGAAGTATTTGAATAACTATCAAAATATTCACTAGAAATTCAACATTTTCTCCACCAAGAACAGGCCGACCTTCACAGACCTTTCATTAATGTATCTCAGTGTTTTTAGACCAGTTTTGAAAAGGATGTCCCAGAAGGTTTGTACCTTTTAGCACTGAAAGAAAACGTGTTCCACAGTTTCAGTTTCATTACCACAGAAAAAACAACATTATTTGTACCTGAATTTAATTTTGCCCTCAAAAATTTGTTGGAAGGATCAATAGCATTTACAATTTTAAAACTCACCTCTTTTGCCTTTGGTAACCCCGCTTGAAAAAACAGGGTAGGCCAGCATATGTTGTGTTTTGGATGCAGGTATGCTGGTCAGTCAACATGACCATACTGGGTGACCAGATAAACCAGCATAGACCAGTATGGAATGCATGTCTGGTCTGTGCTGGGTTTTTCAGCAGGGAAAAGTAGGTAGTGTGTAGACCAAATGTCTCTTTGTGATATGTTTAGCCGTCTCCTAATGGAATGGAATAATGTAATGGAATACCGAACAGAAGCTGGAGAGTAAGAGGCTGCAGCTCTGTGAGGAGGAGACTTTTATGTAGTAAAATGTTTAGCAGAAATAGGCTGTACTGGATGGGAACTGGGGCTGATACACTGCTGTGTCAAAATAAAGCTATTCTAAAGGGGAAAGTGATGTGGAAAATTATTTAGCAGAAACTACATCCATGTATGTATGAATACTCTCAGATTGGTCTTTTATCCTGTGATTTTATTGATATATTTATGTGTATGATGTTTTTTTTTGTTTGAAATACAGTTACAAAGAAATTCCCTTTGTGAGATAATAAAGTATAAAAGAATAATAAAGAAAAAAACAAAACATTCAATGAGACCAAGTCATATATATATATATATATATACATATAACATATAAATGGGACCAAGTCATATATATATATATATATATATATATACATATAACATATATAATAACTATACATTGAACACTTTAACCCACTTTGAAACTGTTTAACACAAATAGGGCTTCATTCAGTGAGACTGAGTGTTGCAAAGTGTTTAGCAGAAATGCATATTCAATAAGTGGGATGTAACGAAATGTGTGCAGTATTATGGGAGCATTCAATGGCACCAAAATGAGCTGTTTAACAGTAATAGGGCTGCATTCAGTGTGAGCAGCGTGTGATAAAAACTGTTTAGGAGAAAAAACTGCACACAGGCAACGCAGGAACGTGTTAGCACAAACACGAACATGTTCCATGGGAAAAAAAAACATCTGGGAGAAATCAGCTGTTCAGGAATGGGATGTGGCAAAGAGTTTAAAAAACGTGGAAGTGTTCAGTGAGATCCACATGTAGCAAATGGTTTGGCAGAAATAAGGCTATGTTCAATGGGAATTGGTGTTGTGATGTGTTTTACAGAGGTAGGGTAATACGGGACATTTAGCGTTTAGATACAGAGTGGGATGCACTTTAACTCAACAGGAATATCACGTAGCAAACTTTCGCAAAAATATTTTGGAAAATAAACTAAGACAAATATTGCAAACAATTGAGAGAAAACAAATTAGTGACTAGGCCTGATATAAAATGATTCAGTTGATGTTGCTGATGCTGTGCTAGATTGATTACAGCTATAGAACCAGCTTTATTTACGATATTACTGTTAAAACTATTAACTAAACTAATATACAAAGGATGAAAAGGAAAGAAACGAGTGAAAAGTAAGTACGTTGGACTGTGAGCGGAAAATGAGTGATGAAAAGTGGTGTTTGGTTTAATACTCTGCTTAAAGGTGAAGTGTGTAAGATTAGAATATAGTAAACCAATATTTAGAGGTGTATAAACACCTCTAACTACGAATCGTTGTGTTTTCATTAGTTTAGAACGAGCCCTTCATATCTACACAGGGAGCAGCTCCTCCAGAGCCAGTTTATGAGGAGTCTGGCCTCTTCCTATTTCCACTGTTATATCACAAACAGGACTGCTAAACAGCAGAGGGCGCCCGAGAGCGAGTCCTCAATGAATGGAGGTGAATGGAGCTCAACGGCTAACAATGAAAAGTTAAAATAGTTTCTAATCAATCGCCCAGAACTTTCCTTTAATTTTAGATGGTAGAAGGATGGATTTCACTAAAAAAGCAAAGAAAACTCACCTGTATGTTTCATTTTTTCTACAGCAAACGGGTTTTGGGCAGCAGGACGCTAACATTACTGCTACTGAGTGCTGATTGGTTGGCGAGCGGAGCAGCTCATTGGCTGTTTGCGCTCACAGACGTCATGAACGTACGAGACACCGTTTTAAACTCCTATAACTCGAGCTTAAAAGCTCTTAAAAATATAACAGCAGTGTTAAAATGTTTTATACTGTTCTGTGTTTTGTATTATTTTATATTAAAATGTTTAAACATTTATAAACTATTATTTTGCTCAAATGCTCCATATTAACCCATACATTTTGGACTTGCTCTGGAGCGCCCTCTAGAGTTTGAGAAACCCGGAAAACACTATAGAGTGGTAATTCTCCTCTCTACAAGTTCTCTAGCAGTTCCTCTTTAACAGAGTCCGGCATGTTGCGCCGCCATGTGTCTACAGTAGGGCTGGGCGATAAAACGATAACGATAATTATCGCAATTTAACTTTTCCTCGATAGAGCGATACATGTTTGATAAATGTTCGATATAATACACCGCTCTCACACTCCCACGTTCAGCGAAAGCCTTGGTGGCGTTTTCTACTGCAAGGAAAGTGACACTACTCTGCTGTCGCCAGGAGAGGGCACACTTCTGAGTTTTTCTACATGATTAGAGAGGGAGGGGGCCACGAGTAAGATGAGTCTTTAGCAACGGCTGAAATGCGGAGTTACACATTCCCTGTTTGAGTGGAGCGACCGGCGATCTGCTCTCCTGTGACCGAGTGTGAGTGACGAGGTCAGAGGTGTAACTGTACTGACCTACAGTGAACTCACCTCTTTACTAACATCCTAACAGCTTTAGCAGCGTTAAATCACGTCTGCTCCTCTCAACTACAGCGCTGTTACAGCGCTCAGTCATATTTTAATATTGGTGCATTCCCAAGCAACGAAAGTGAAAGAAAGAAGTGGGTTCATGTAAATTACAGCCCTGATTTAAACGAAAGTAAACTGAGGAAGCTGTGAGGCATTGGAGAGGAGGAGAGCGCTATCTTTCCAGGCTAGCTGTTTATAGCAGCTGGCTAACCTGAAGCAGCTCCGTCACTCACACAGCACGGAGAACTGATGATACTGTATATCAAACACGACACAAAAGCACCGCTTTCAGTTTAAACGTACCTAAAAGGAGGACTCTGTTTGTCTGGTGTTGATATTTTGCGGTTCACCCCTCAAACTACTACGATAGTATAGAGAAATCCAGTTGTCTAGCTGGTGTCTGAATACTGTGATGTCGTTTGTAGCGGGGTAGCCGAGCGCTCGGCACCAGCTAACAATAATCTGTTTTCTTTCTTAAATTATGACTATTACAAAATAGCCGTGCTTTTCCAGCTGGTAAAAACAGCTCAGCAGACACTTTCTCCCACTCTCCCATGACAGATCTGTGAAATGTTCCACTGTTTGGTGAGTGTTTGTCGTGTTCAGACCATAAAGGATAGTTTAAAACCGCGATTAACCACCCAGGAGCAAAAATCAGCCTTCAGACTTGAAATAATGATTTGACATTTATTGCGGTATGTATCGATATCGAACGATATGAATTCTGTTTATCGTGATAACATCTTTGGCCATATCGCCCAGCTCTAGTCTACAGTAACCCAATATTGGTTGCGCTGACTTATCGTGATGTGTGCTGGACTTTTGTCCGACTTTCACCGGCGCTGCAGAACGTCACCATGTCACATGACTTTAAAAGCGGCTGCAGTTTGTGAAGTCGGCACTGCAGTTGCTCTCCATCCGCTACACAAGCCAAAACACACCTTTGTGATGTCAGAACATCAGCCTCGCTGGCTGGAACATCCAATGACAAACATGACGTGTGGTTCTTTATTCTAATAAGTTCAGATCTGTTATCTCCTGTGGTTCTCTGCCAAAGAGGAGGCCATTAACTTGATTTCCTCCTTCTGGCAGCTCATTTTTTACATATGGCTCCATTAACTATAGCTTTTATTTAGAGCAAAAAACCTGTAAAACGGTTTAGTTCACGAGTTTATTTTTTTAAAGAAACACACACTTAAAAATGAGGTTCCTTTTTCAAAAAGGTTCTATATAGAACTGCCACTGTAGGTTCTGCTACACGTTTGGAAAGGGAGGGGAGAGGGAGGGGGATTCAGCTGGTTGCAATCTGCAACCTCACCACTAGATGCCACTAAATTGTACATACTGCGCCTATAACCATCGATGGCAAAAGGCCAGTGGGCCGCCAGTGGTCCGCTGTGCTCTTACTATCTGGGTGGTCAAACTAGTAGCAGTTTCAGAGTTTATTTAGACACACAGAGCAGCTCTGCTTCCTCAGACTCGCACTACACCGTCACACTGTGATCTCCTGCTTTACGTGATGTTTGTACAGCTGTTTCAGTCTGAGCACCTTCACAGCTCACAGTACGGACTGCAAGGCTCGTCACACTGTACGTAACCGCTGGCAACAAAAACACAGACCTGGAGTCCAGTCGAAATAAATGACTGCTGTGCATTTATACAAAGCGCCAACAAGGAAAAGACGGAAATATTCAAAATGGAAAACCAACAACAAACTACTGGCAACAGATAAACATATTCAGATAAGATTTGTGTGCAAAATGTAAATAAGTTACACATCCTCTACAGAGACGCGCTTCTGCACATCTTAACACAAAATTACTGTTTATTTACTAAACTTAACATATTGAGGTAAAAAAAAATCATGTTAAACTCAGCAAATAAATAGAAATTATGCACCAAAATTTGCAGAAAAATATGAGAGTGGTCTCTGCAGGGGATGTGTGAATATTTTTACTGTGACAAAATGTGTGATTTGACATGGGGTGCTCAAACTTTTGCATAAAACTGTGTGTAAATATCTTCTACATGAAGCACTTTTATTTTTAACATAATATTGTGATAATATGATAAACCATGATAAAGGATTAGATAATTATCACGGTTTTAAATTTTTCCATTTTAAAGATATTACACATTCACACAAACATATCAAACTAACATTTATTACATTCAGCATAACATATATTTACACTCAGACTGTTTACTGTAATTCAGAGCTCTACTGACAGAAACTCCTCTCTGCTCCGTATCAGAGATTTTACTACGACACTTCATTCTTTTCTTTCTTATTTCTTTCCATCCTGTTTCTCTTTTTCCACTCGGCCCCGACAGATGAGTTCATTTCTGGCTCTTTGCTTCCTCTCTCTCTCTTTAATCGAAGCGAGGTGTAATGATCTCTTTACTCTTTTCTTTTAAAGCTCTTGTGGTTGGCACTTATTTCTGCCTTCATGAATGTTTTTCACCTCGTCTGGACATCAGCAGCTCGCTGTGGTGACAGATAAAGATGTCACAAAGAGGAAATGCTGAAATGTTCGCACCTCGCTAGCATTTTCCTCTTCTCACACCGCTCTCTCTCTCTCTCTCTCTCTCTCTTCCTCAGAAAGACTACAGAGCTTGTTTATGAAGCCAAAATAATGTTAAAATAAAAAAGAAACAAAGAAAGAACAGAAAAATCAGAAAAAAAACAGAAAAATCAAAAAAACTGAAAAAACAGAAAAAGCAGAAAAATAAAAAAAACAAAAAAAAACAGAAAAATCAGAAAAAAACAAAAATAAAAAAAAACAGAAAAATCAGAAAAAATAGAAAAATAAAAACACTGAAAAAAAGACAAATCAGAAAAAATGAAAAATCTGAAAAAAAAGAAAAGAATGTGAAAAAAAATCTGACCAAAAGCAAAAAATAAATCGGGTCCTCTTGTTTAAATGTGTCAGCAAATAGTCAAGATATCATTCAGTGATCTAAATCATTCAATCATTCTATGACTAAATAACTAAATATGCATGTAATTCCAAAGATAAAAACAAAAAACTGCAAATAAAAACAAACTGGTAATAAAACATGCACAGCTTACAGAAGACGTTTAATTTAAACCTTCGTTTTTCTTTATTTTGTCTTTATAAGGTTTTTAAACATTTAAGCAAATGAACAGCTTTATCCAGCGTTTCATATCAGAGCAGAACCTCACATCTGTGATTTTACAGCGTTTGAAAATACTGCTGTTTACATTGCGTTACATTTCATGATGAATGGACCAACAGAAACAGTCCACAATGACTTGGAGTAAAATGTTTTTATATTAACTCACATTAGACGTTTTCTTTGTCCTGTAAAGTTCCCATTCCGGAGATCTGATGTATCACGGCTGTTTGATTTATGTTCTAAATACACTCAGAAAAAGTGCTGCTTCTCCAGTTCTCGTGCCAAACTCTCGTGCCGAACGCTTCATTGTCCCTCTACAGAGCCAATAACCTACAGTTTAGAACTTATTTTTAGGTCCACTGATGAAAAATTTGGTCAGTTCATTCAAAATTCAGGTCTACATTATGTTTTTCAGCCTCTCTTTATCTCTGAGAATAAAACAGGCTGGTTTTGTTACTGTGCCTTTAAGAAAAGCAGTCCAGGCTGAAACACTCCTTATAACTTACTGCTAAACTGCTATATGCTGAATAGGAGGATGTATGTCAATAGCTGTGTTCCAATTCAGGGGCTGCGTCCTTCGGAGGCTGCATTTGAAGGCCGACTGCGTCACAGCGGCATTGGGACACAGCCTATATGTTTGTTTTCACAGCATCGTAAAAAACAAATAATTCCAAACCGGCTTTTTTTTGCAGCGTAGTTTCCGTATGTAGACTGTACAGCATGTGTACATTTGAAAAAAGTGAGGGAATTTCAGTTTTCATGATTTTGACTCTTGAACCTGAAGCCCAAACGTACTACTGAGTCACTGAATCACTGAAACAAAACAGAAGAAAACTCGTTTCTGTTTCAAATACACTCATAACCTCTTTCTGCAGCGCCCCCTAGTGACCATTCACTGACATTTTTAATTAGCATAATGAATAAATGAATGAATAAATTCATGAATGAATGTTTTTGTAATCAAATGAACTAAAACTCTGTTGTTTCTCTGTGTGTGAAATGTTGAGCTGCTAGAGAGCAATGAGGGGCGAAAGGGGAGGGTGAGAACCCCCTGCTGTGAAAAACTATTCACACCTCTCCACAAAGACAGCCGTGCCGAGATAAAACGGACAAACAATCCTGTACAGCTGACACAATAAACACAGCATTCAAACACAATAAACGCGCTTAGAAATGTCGACTCGCTCGCTACGAAGATGAAAATACAGCTCATCTACTAATTTGTAAATCATACACATTTCCATCCAAATATAATCTGTCAATGTTATTATAAACATGGCGAAACAGGCGGGAACTGCATCTGTCTGCAGTGAAAAGGGGCTGAAGAACCTTTTAATGGAAGATTATTTAAAGAGCTATTTGTAAATAAGCTGTGAAACCCTTTCACATTTAAAGAACCCTTATGCAACATGAAGGTTCCACACCAGTTAAAGGTATTTTAGAGCTGCATGTTGGTTTAGGAAGCTTTACTTTTAGGACTGTATGCAGATGTAAATCAATTGCGTATAAATAATCTGCCGATAACACAGTGGTGGGTCTATACTGAGCACTAAGCTTATCTGAGGTGCTTTTGTGGTCGGATCATCTGATTGAAGTTTCCTCTGTTGAATTTTTGATCCAGTTTTCAGTCTGATGTCTTCGGCAGCTCACTGGTCCTGCTTCAGTGTGATCATGGGCTGAAAAACAGAAAAATCAAACTTATTCGTTTACATGCTCTCAATAATCCAATTTCTGCAGTTATCCGATTATTCAAATGGTCATGTAAACAGCTGACTCCAATCTAGAAAAGAGGCTGGATTTAGCTCAGTAATCAGATTTCTCAGTGTATGTGAACTCTTACTCTGATTTCTTTTGGATTTCTCAGTCTGAGCATGTGCGAAAACAGACAGCGGTACCGGAAATAGGCGAGCAGTCTCGCCGCGAGACGCAGCAAAACACTGTTGGAGCGACGCTGAAACCAAACGTTAAATAAAGGTTTTAAATATTCTTCATCTTCTAGATGATGTTTGTTCATATTTTCAGGTAAAGTGGCGCGATGTTTTTAAAAAAAGCTGGTTGTAAAGCAGAAATCTGATTACTGTCTGACTCATGTAGACCTGAGGTTTCCCCATTATCTGATTACTCAAGTACATGTAAACGCGTTGATCAGATTACTGACAAAATCTGATTTTTTGCAGTTATTGGATTATTAAGTGCATGTAAACACACTCAGTGTTGCTGTGCGTGTTTTGATGAATCAAGGTAATAAAAAGTATCAGAGGTAAATGATTTTGAATAATGCAGGTCAGTCTTTAACTATGTCTCATTAGTGATTCATCAGTGTGTTTTAATATATTATTATATGTAGATGTGTAAACCTCGGTCTGGGGCCGGGTTCACAAAAGTGTCTCAAGAAAGAAAATCTTCTTAAATGTTTTTTCTTGACTTTATTCTTAAGAAAAAAGTTACGAAAAACTGATATTCTTTAAATACCTTCTTACAGATTCTTTTCTTTTTCTTTCTTAACTATTTTCTTAAGAGTAATTCTAAGAATGAGTGTTATTCTTAAAATATTATGTTCTTAAATGTTTTCTTGACCGTATGAAAGCCTCACACTGTCTCAGGCTGTAAGAGTTGACGAGGTCAGCATCTAAATTTATCACAGTTCTTATTTGCTAAGTTTTTTTAAACACTTGGTTTGATGATTTTCCTCCATTTTGCTCCTCTGAGCGGATTAAACTAAATAACGGAAATAACAATTAATACAAATTTAAAATGTATCTTGTGTCGTTTATTGTACAAGGTTAAATGCACCAGAGCCGACACAAGAAAACAATGGAGATTTTCTTAAGAAGATCTTAAGGAAATAACTAAGATCATCTTAAGAGAATATTTGAGAACTTCTTAACTTTTTTTCAAGAACTGCATTTAAAAACATTCTAATAAACTTAGTGTTTGTCTTAAGAACCTTCGCAAGTTTTTTCTTAAGAGAGCTTTCATGAATCCAGCTCCAGAGTCACGAAAGTGTCCTAAGAAAGCAAATCCTCTTAAATGTTTCTTCTTAACTTCATTCTTAAGAAAAACGTCACGAAAAATTGTTATTTTTCAAATCACTTCTTAAAAATGATCTTATTTCCTTTTCTCAATTATTTTCTTAAGAATAATTCTAAGAATAAGTGTTAGTCTTGAACATATTATGTTCCTAAATGTGTTCTTAACTTTACGACAGTTGTAGAGTGGAGTTTGTACTTTTTATTTTCAAAATCAACAGTATTTCTGTATCCCCGTATTTTCATTACAGTGAGCCAGAAACCGCTGTTGGCCGCTTTAGGGGGTGGATCGCTCAATTACACACAGGTTGAGGTTCAAATAGAGAAAGTCTATTCAGAGATAGAGGCCAGTTCTGAGTCGCAAAGCAGCCTAATATTGTTTTAAACGTAAAAATGATCATTTATCAGAACAATGACGTTTTTATCAAGCGTTAAATCTCCCACGCTGTGTGTTCCGGTGTTAAATCTCACTGCATGACTGGGCTGCACACCACATTTCAACAGTCCGTTCAGTTAATTTGCATAAAGTTGGTCCAGAATGAGCTCAGAGATGATGTGTCAGTTAGATGTATATATTTTCGTCTCTCTCCTCATTACAGCGCTGAATGACACGTTCTCTTTAATGTCAATTAGAAAAAGAAGTAAAAACAATAAAACAAAAGTCACATCAAAAGAGGCCCATCAGTTTGCATGATATCATATGTCTCATATGACGCTACTGAAAATTTCAGCACCTCTAATTTAAAACACGTTTCTGCGTCCCTGGTGGGTGGGATGGTCCTCCTTCATGCCCCTTTACTCTGCACGATGCTAGCCTGTCTGTTAACTAATCTGTAACAGGACTAGCTGTTTGACTTCGTTCACACAGCAGGTAAAACAGGCCCAAATCCGATTTTCTCACCAAATCTGATTTTTTTGTTTCGGCTGTTCACAATATCTTTTAAATGTTGTCTGTATTTGACATCAGTCTGAACAGATCAGCTCCTAAACTGACCCGCATGATCAAAAGAACAATCTTCACGCTGCTTCACGGCTCATCCAGAGGTAAACAATCACGACCACACAGACACATCTGTGTCACTTATGAGGGAAAAGATCAGATTTGGGCCACTTTTACCTGCTGTGTGAACAAAGCCCTAGTGTTCTCCTCCAAGCGTGTTGAGCTGCCCAGTGATGTTGTGTTAGCGGCGGTTCAAAAAAAAAGACGTGGACGGAAATAAAGTAAACAAAAACAAAGACTTAACAGCCTAAACAGTCATCTGATCAGACTGCTAATAGAGGAGCATGTGGACAAAACATCGCCTCATGTGAGAAACGGTCAGAGCTGAAAACTGCAAACGAGGTAATGTAGTAATAATCAGTCGTTTGAGGGATTAGGGTTTAGTTTGTGTCCGTGTATGAAAACTTAAAAATACATTAGCAGAGACACGTTTGGCCCAGAGAGTTTATTCTCTCAGATCGTCGCAGAGCACAACCTCGCTCCTCTCTTTCTCTCTCTCAGCCTCTCTGACTGCCTTTGTGTTTGTATGCTGAATTAATAGTCTGTGAGCCTGTTCAGCTGTTTAACTGTCAAACATGTCTGCTACATGATTACCAGAGGACAATATCACAACAAAGAAAATCAAAACTGAAAAAATTAAATTCTTTCCACTGAAAAAAGTAGTACGTTTCTGCGTTAGAGAGCCATAGAACTGTGTGAATATCAGGTTGAGCTCAGCTTTTTCAATCTTTTTACGCAATCAGAACTACACCATATGCCCAAAAGTTTCTAGTCTCCAGTGTTTCTTCTGAAATGAAGGTATTAATTGTGAGTTTGTGCTGCAGTAACATCCTCTACTCTTCTGGGAAGACCTTACACTATATGAACACTGCTGTGAGGATTTGGTTGAGCATTAGTGAGGTCAGGTACTGATGTTGTCAGTTCTGGACACTCAGTATATGTCCTGGATATTCAGTTCTTTTTATTACAATCAACTTTTTATTACAATCAATTTTATCAGCATGACAGTTTGAGCGAAAAGTCGAATCTTTGAAACGAATTCATGAATTTCAGAATTTCTTAGTATTTGTGTGCAAAAGTTTGTACACCCCAGGAAATGGCATGTTTTGTTGATTTTCTAAGTGTGAAAAAGTTAACACATCCCCTACAGAGACACACGTGTGCACATTTTAATGCACAATTACTGTTTATTTGCTAAAATTAATGTTATGTTTTATTGATTTTTTTTCTAATCTGTTGAATTCAGCAAATAAATAGAAATCGTGCCCTAAAATTTGCCATAATGACAGCGTGCCTTCAAGCTGGCCTCTATAAGCAGATCGAATACACCCGAGAGCCGTCTGAACACGAGCTTCAGTGGAAGGAATAAGACTCAAAACCAAATCTGACCTTCTTTTCTTAGTTCTTAAATAATAATAATAATTTTATTTATATAGCACTTTTCATGCCGGTGGCAGCTCAAAGTGCTTTACAGACAGGTGATAAAACATAGTTATAGAAAAGATCATTAGTGCTTAATTAGAATCAGAAGAAAATGCAGAAGATTAAATTACAAGATAAAAACCACGAGACATTCAGTTTTAGTTAAATGCTAATTTAAAGAGATACGTTTTTAGGTGCTTCTTAAAAGTGAGCACTGAGCTTGACTGTCTAATACAAGGTGGAATTGAGTTCCACAGTTTAGAAGCAGAGTAAATGTTAAATGTTGTTGTTTATTTCCAGGTTTTAAAAGAAAAAATCTCAGATTTTCAATGTGGTCTCAGACTTTTAGACTCCACTGTACTTACATTTATAAAATATAGAAACTGGGACTAAATCTGCCTGGATCAGCATTACAGAGAAATACAACATTTCATTTCTGTAGAGTTTCAAACACAGTGAAATAAATAGATGCAGATATTTTAGTGAACTGCAACTTATCCCAAAGGTATTGGATGGAGCTCCATCACCAGAGAACACAGTTCCACTGCTCCACAGCCCAGTGCTGGGGGTTTTATACCCCTCTAGCTCATGCTTAGCATTGGACATGGTGTCATTAAGCTCCATAGTGTCCAATTCTACTGGTCAGTGCTTTTCTATGGAGACTGAATGCCTGTGTCAGCTATAAGTGCGACCTGTGCTGATAAGTAACAGTGTTATACGTTACCAGGGTGTTGAAATGCGCTCTGCAGACGGCTTTACTCTCCCAGTAGATCAGCACTGCGGCGAGGATAAACTGGAGCGCATGCAGCGCTACAAGCACACCCTTTAGCCCAATGTACATATCGTGAGCATCCTTAGCCTGCAAAAACAGAAACAGGGCACAGGCCACAGAATGAGTACTGACCATCAGTTCCTCTTTCTAATGAACCAAAGTGCAAACTTCTGTGTATTATACAGTCATATGCAGTTTGGGCACATTAAGGGCTTATGTTTATGGAAATTATCCATATATGTGGAAACTAATCTACAAAACCATCTTATTTTGAGCTCATTGTTTCTGTGATGTCATGAGTACAAACTCATTTATACATCCACTTCTTCAGCTTACAGCAGTTTAGCTTTGCTTATTCACACTGAAGTTAAAAGGAGTGTTTCAGCTCTGAGTGCTTTTTTAAACGAGCAGTAAAGGGCAGCCAATCATAACAGAGCTCATTTATATATCAGCCTTAAATGCACAGTAAAAAAAACAGCTTGTTTAACTGTAAGGGATATAGAGAGGTTGGAGAATGATCATGTGAAAATGAATTATGACCATTTTTGTACATAAAAGCAGATAAATGTTATAAGTGGCCAAAATAACATAAAAGTGTAGGATATGGGACCTTTAACATCCTCTGCAGGAAACACATTTTAATGCACAATGTCTATTCATTAGCTGAGTAATAAAACAGAAAATGGGTCATTCTACAGAAACGTCCATTTTTGTGTCCCTAGTGTTTACAGATATATTACACTTAAAAAACATGTTAGGGTTACAATTTATTTATATTTTAAAGTAAAACAATTAGTTATTTTAACAATTACACCTTCTTGAACCTCAATTTAGCAATATTGGATTTTACATCAATCATATAGAATTCCAAGCACCACAGAAGAGCTCGTCCTCATAGTCATGTGTGAAGGCTGAGGCTGTATTTTGAAGAAAAATCACGTTTTACTGCTATTTTAACTGCAATAATCTGTACATGACTATGAAATATATGATTTAAATGACATAAAGAAAACAAACACCAAATAAATATTATAAAATATATAATGAAAGTTCCCCAGGAGTCGTGTCACTGGTGTTACTGCGTAACAAAAAGCTCTTATTTTGAAATAAAAGTCACACTGATGACATCACTTGACTTCCTTTTACCTGTTTTCTGAGGATCTATGAAGAAAAGCACATGGTGAGTCCACTGAGTCTTTCAGTTATTAGAGATTTTCTCATTTAGCTCATGATTTCATATGAAGCTTTTAGCTGAAGTCACTGGTGTGACCGACTTTATTCTGAGGTCATTGTGAAAAAATAGAATACAAATGGATTAAATTATATATTTTAGTGGATATTCAATGACTGACAACATGTGGTTTGATGTTCTGTAGCAGCTGTTTTGTAAAATGCATTGTTCATTAAAAATGAATACGTTTATTATGTGTAACACCAATGAGAATCGGTAACACCAGTGACTCCTGTGGATAGAAAGTGGACGTTTCTGTAGAATGACCCAAACATAACGTGCCACAAATTTTGCACAGGCCACATTATGTTTTATTTTTTGTCCAATATATTAAATTCAGTAAATAAACAGTAATTCTGTATTAACCTCTGACGCTGATATCGGACATTTTCATGTACATACAGTGTCCAGACATCTGAGGGCACTGAAGACACTTCTGCATTCTTTACAAATTTAATACAAACTTTTTAGTCACAAACGATATTATCAGCACAATAATTTGAACGAAAAATTTTTTGGAAATATTTCAACAAATGAATGAATGAATGAATAAATTGATTGAATGAATTTCTTAGTATTTGGTACATGCGCGTGCAGAAGTTTGGGACACCCCTGGTTATTTGCTGAGTTTAACATATTGGGGGAAAATATTATCATTAAATGTGGCCTGTGCAAACGTTTTTGCAAATTATATATTTTAAATGATATATTTTAGTTTTCATCTTTTCTAATTTGTTAAATTGAGCAAATAATTAAAAACTGTGCAATTAACTTTGCCGTTATGACAGCGAGCACTCGAGCTGGCCTCCATAAGTCTGTGCCTCTGATGAGCAGAAGAAATGCACCCGAGAATCGTCTGAACACGAGCCTCAGTGGAAAGAATAAGATTAAAAACCAAATCTGACCTTTACAGTGACCCAGAAATAGTGCGGAATCTTTAACATGTCTTTGCTGTACTTGTTGTAACTTGTCTTTGTTTTAAAATGTTCTCAGATTTTCAATGTGGTCTCAGACTTTTAGACCCCACTGTACTGACATTCTGTAAAATACAGAAAGTGGGACTAAATCTGCCTGGATTAGCATTACAGAGAAATATAACACTTCTGTAGATATTTTAGCGCAGCGTCATTTAGACATTCTGCTCGTCTGGAGTTCAATAAACACATCGTCGAATATCAGCTTGAAATATCAGTAAAATTAAACATTAAACATTTTTGAAGCAATACTTTGCTGGGGTTGATATAATTCTGATATCATCTGATATCATCTGATATTATCGTCTAGACTTTCAAGAGGTAATAAGATGGAGCTGTTTTACCTGGTGAGATTGAGACTCTATCAGAGGACAAAGAGCAAGAGCCGCGATGGCCCAGAAAAGGCCGATGATGTTGAAGATGAAGGACATTTTCATCTGTTTGCAGAAAGATATTCAACATGTTAGTCTGTGAACACTGAGGTATGTGATCAATACAACTTCCAGCAAGCTGTATACCAAATAAATAAATTAGCAAAAAACAAATAAATTAATTAAATATTTGAAAATCGGCATACAATAGTTCGGGTGCCCCAGTCAAGTGTTTCTTAATGAAATAAGTCAACACATCGTCTACAGAGAACACATTTTTTCTGCAAATTTTCAATTTAACAGCATTGGACATGGTGACATTTCCTGGAAAAAAAATAAAACATAAAATATAAAATGTGCCATAACTTTTGCACAGGCCACATCTTATGTTTTTTTTTCTCTCTCAGTATGTTAAATTCAGCAAATAAACAGTAGTTGTGCTTTAAAGTGTGTTCTGTGTAGAGGATGTGTTCATTTATTTTTACATCAATTATTATTATTTTTTTAATTATTTTAAATCAACAACAACATGGAATTTGACTGGGGCGCCCTAACATTTTCACACGGCTGTCAAACTTCTATACGTACCACAGGCATCAGCGGAGAATATCCAGCCGCGTAGGTCAGAATGCCACACGCTATAAACTGAACGAAAGGAAAATTTAACATTTGTGTTCATCAATATGCAAACATGCAAAAGTTTGTGCACCCCGGTCAAGTTTTGCTGATTGTAAATAAGTGAATACAGCCTCTACAGAGACACACTTCTGCACACTTTAATGCACGATTACTGTTTATTTACTGAATTTAACATATTAAAAAAAATAAAACAGAACACGCAGCCTGTGCAAAAGTTATGATACATGATATTTTGTGTTGTTTTTTTTTTCTAATATGTTAAACTCAGCAAAAAATTATACATTGTGCACTAAAAAAGTGTGTTCCCTGTAGAGGACGTGTTCACTTCTTTTCACTTAGAAAATCAGCAAAACATGAAATTTGGCTGGGGGTGTCCAAACGTTGCATATGAGTGTATACAACCACATCATGTAAACATAACTAGAACATCAATATGACTTTCAAGTGAGGAGAAAAAGATTCATTCATGCCTCTTTAAATAAGTACTTCGTAAACAACTTCAAACCATGTAGCACTTCAGTACATAAAAATAAATATACACAAAAACAAGTTCATGCAGTGTGAACTGATCTGCTGTTGTAATATAGTTTGTGTTTTGAAGATTAAGTATCTTCTTCAGAGCTCAGTGAAATGATAATTGAAGTTTGAGGAGTGATGGGATTATATCTGAACCAGTTCACGATTTTATTTATTCCTGTGCAGCCCAACATTTCAGATTGTGTTCAAAATCCAAACACATATGACAAAAACAGAGTTCACACCAGGTTTCTACACTGTAATAAAAAATAAACATCCTCAACTGCATCTTTCAGGCTGCTTCTAAGCACAATGAGGCCTTAAATGAAATGATTTTTCAAAATTTCTGCATAATTCAGTGTGTGAGATGTAAACAGAGTGACTCAGAGTGGTTTGGTGTGAAATGGTTCAGATGTTTTTACAGTGGTGGTGATAGGAACCAGGGGTCGCCATGACTACAACACAAATATAGACATTTTATTTACTATCCAGAACCACCAGTGAACCTACACGAGTCTTCTGAGTTTATATGGAATGTTGATGATGGAAAATAGTGGAAAATCTGAAATAATAAGTTTCTTTGGGGACTATTTTGCCTCACAACACCCTGCATATTATGTATCCCTCCACAATGAGTGGATTTTAAGGCCAAAATCTTCTCTAAACTATCATAAAACAGTGTCTCAGTCATCAGGCAGTGAATTCATAACCATTTCATGTAGTAACTTTCTGTGAGGGAGCTTTTAGAGGTGGACGTCTGGTTCCTATCACCACCACTGTGAACAATTCTCACTCTGTAAGTTTCTCTAGAACAGAGCGTTTCACACCAAACCACTCTGAATGACTCTGTTTACATCTTAACCATTGCATTATGCAGAAATTGTCAAAAATAAGTGGAATTCCCCTTCAATGTTTAAGCCACAGTCCTTCTGTGGTGAAACTGCTGAAAAAGAGGCCACTTCACATTCAAAGCCAGTTCCTTTGTACTACAGTTGAGTAAAATGAGAAGGGAGGTTTGTTTATAGGTGTATCTCTACTTATTTATCTCTTCTGAAACAGAACAAACATTTACACTGTGTCTTATTTCATTAGAACACTCTGCAGTGCTCGAAAAGAAAACCTCGGCAGCGCGTTTCGTTCCCACGCCGAAGTAAATGAGCTCATGTTTCTTGTGAGTTTGAATGTAATCTATTTGTCGTCTTACCACAGAGCTGGGTACGATGTGGGAGGCGTGTTGGCTGCCGTAGGAGCTGATAAAAACGGCCCCGAGACACAGGATGAAAACTCCAGTGGTCATCTGCGCCGCCTTCAGCACACAGAACACGGAACAAACACAAATATAAAACAATGCAAAAGTCACAAAAAGGTTCTATTTAAATCCATGAGTTCTATCTTGAGTTCCAAATGGTTCTTTGCTTGGCGAAATGGTTCTTCAGATTGATATAAAATGTTTTGTATATCGCTGTTGATGGAAGAAAACCTTGTATCTCCATTTTTGTCGTTTTTCAGTTTTTGACATAATTTGAAAATGCCTGTTGTTCTTTACATTGTGTGTTAATTTCATGATGAATGGACCAAAAGAAATGACTCAAAATGACTTGGTAAAACGTCTGGTTCCATTGACTTACATTAAAAGTAGAGTATGTTTTTTCCTTCTCCTGTAAAGTTACCATTTTGGAGATACGAGGTTTTGTTCCGACAACAGCAAAATGGTTATATACAGAACTTTTTAGAAAATAGTTGCACCAAAAAAAGTTCTGCTGTTGTTACAAGCTTGACGATAGCGAGAACCCTTTTAACAATAGCAGAACAATTTTTGGGGTTTTATAGAACCATATACAACACATTTTCTATCACAAAAAGGCATGAGGAGTGTTTATCAAAGCAATATATATCATTAAAATAAATAAATAACAAACAGTGAGACATAAAAATCCATCACCTGGTTTAATTTAATGAGTGATTGTTTAGATAAACCAGGCATTAGATGGTAAGTATAAATACGGGACTTCCTCCAGGAGAGAACAGGAAATGGTTCAACTGACACAAATCACAATGTATTATTTATTTGATTGTATTTATTCTAATGTTAGTAACAAATTAATGCAAATTAATAGATAAAATGTACATTTTTTTTCTCAGATGCTGTTGGAGCCTATTGCACAACATAAACCTTTTATCTCAAAAAATAAAAACAATTTATAGGAGAGGCACAATTTTCTTAACTTCATGGAAGTCAGTGTAACAAGATTTTATTCCAAAAGTAATTCCATCACAAAATGTTCACACGATGTAAACAATGGCTGTTCATATTATGAAAAAAAAGAAAAAAGGGAAAAAAATGTGGAAAAATGGTAACGATATGACTGATCTTTGACATTTATGCAGCACAGTTTAATAAATCTGTGCTTTTATTACAGCAAATAAATAAAATTTATATATATATATATAAAAATTAAAGCATGTGATGCGAATTTATGTATATTTATATATATATATATATATATATATATATATATATATATATATATAAATAAACACACACACACACTATATATATATATATATATATTCTGGTCCCATTGACTTAAATTAAAAGTTAAGTATATTTTTCCTTCTCCTGTAAAGTTACCATTTTGGAAATACGTGTATATATACATATATATATACACACACACACACACACACATATATACACACACACACACACACACATATATATATATATATATATATATATATATATATATATATATATATATATTCATGGTGGAGGGATATATGCAAGGTGTGTAAGGCAAAATAGTCCCCATAGAACCATAGAAAACTTATAATAATATATCCGTATATATCCATATAAACTCATATGTCTGTATAATATCCATATAAGCTCAGAAGACTCGTGTAGGTTCACTGGTGGTTTTGGATAGCAAATGAAAATGTCTATATTTGTGTTGTAGTCATGGCGACCCCTGGTTCCTATCACCACCACTGTAAAGACATCTGAACCATTTCACACCAAACCACTCTGAATCACTCTGATTACACCTCAAACAGTGAATTATGCAGAAATTTTGAAAAATGAGTGCAGTGTTGATGGATTTGTGCTCCCCTGAATATTCCAATACTTTCAAATGCTACTTTCACTTCTGCTAAACCGTATTAGTAAATAACAGTCTAGTGTTTCTGTTTCAGTGATTAAAATGTATTAATTCTCTTTTTTGTGGTATTAATATCATTCTGTTGTGCTGGTTCAGCTGTGCTAAGGCTGACACTCCTCACTTTTAGCATTTTATTTTAGACCAAAATGATAAAAGTGAAGACAGAAGCTCAATAATCTTCAGCTCCTATGCTGACAGATGTCTGATGTACTAAGATGATCCACTGCTGTTCAGCAGAGGAACTGAGACCTCTATAGACGGTGGGTTCACTAAGCTGCTTAGTAGAAGTAACAGTAGCCTACATTCTTAAAGAATATGTTCCTCAAGGGTTCTTTAGCAAATGGAAAGGTTCTATTTAGATCCATGAGTTCTATACAGAAGCATTCAATTCTTAAATGGTTCTTCGCATGGTGAGATGATTCACCAGATTGATGGGGAATGTGTTGCATATGGTTCTATATGCAACCTTTTCTGTTACTGTTACAAGCTTGACAATAGCGAGAACCCTTTTAACAATAGTAGAAACCCTTAACAATAGCAGAACCCCTTAACAATAGCAGAACCCTCTTTGGTGTTATGTGGAACCACCACAACACATTCTCTATCAACCTGAAGAACAACTTCACCATGCAGAGAATTTATTTAAGCATGAAATGGTTCTATATGGAACTCATGGTTCCAAACAGAACCATTGCCTTTGCTAAAGAACCCATGAAGAACCATTATTTTAAGAGTGCAGCTAAAGGCTACCTTCCTGATCGCCGAGTGTCTCGAGAGAGCCGACTTGAGGAGAAGTTTTACTTACTCCCAGAGCCTTCGGTCGTCCCTTCAGAAAAACCTTGTACATGTCCTTGAACACGCAGGTGAACTTCTCGGGCATCAGCTGGCCATCCCTCGTATTCCTGATGTTCTGGAGGGGGATGGTGATGACCATGCAGTCATCCGATTTGAATGTGTACCTCATTGGCCTGCAAGAGACGAGTACACTCAGACATGTATATGAAAATTACAGCAGAAAGGTGGAGCACATATGACCCGACCAGAGGTGTGTAAAGTAGCCTAAACCCAGTGAAAGTGTTGACACTTCAGTGAAATATGTGCCATTTAAGGTGGAACGGAAAATCCCAAGACTAGTCGTAGGAGTATTTTTAAAAAGGAACTTTAAAATAAGCTGCTCAAAAAGCTACTAAAGTGCTGAGAACATCCAGCAACCATCAGGAACCGAAGTTTGTCAGGCTCTATTTTTCTCTTTTTGGCCTAAAATAAAATGCTAAACCTCAGAACTGAGAGGTGCATCCAAGTAGCGCAGATGCTAAACCGACACAAACAAAAAAGGGTAGCTAAACTTCAAAGCCCAAACCTACAATTCTACAGACTTTTCAAAATTCCCGCATAATTAAACAGTTGATAGGTAAACAGAGTCACTCACTTCTCTGTTCTAGAGAAACTCAGAATTGTTCACAGTGGTGGTGATAGGAACCAGACGTCCAGACAAAACAGAACCCAAAGAAAGCTTATTTTTTCACACTTATCACTATTTTCCCATCATAAACCTTCCATATAAACTCAGAAGACTCGTGTAGGTTCACTGGTGGTTCTGGATAGTAAATAAAATGTCTATATTTGTGTTGTAGTCATGGCGACCCCTGGTTCCTATCACCACCACTGTAAAGAAACCTGAGTCTCTACATACCATGAACTTTTTTCACACCAAACCTCTCTGAATGTCTTCACGTCTCAGCCGCTGAATTATGCAGAAATTTTGCACAGTGGGTAGATTTCAGCCTTAACCACCACAGTGTGTTGCACAAATCAACAATGTAGGCTACTTTTCTCACTAACATCCTGGTGAAGATGGAAAAATGTCATTAGAAAACATTTAGGAAGGCAGAAAAAATGTTAAAGTGCATTAAAATGTACTTACATGATATATAATACATGGAACTGAGTGTTAGTCAGTACTATCTGCCTCTAGAACTACCATAGGCTAAAATGTTAAGCTAATGAAGACTGAATGAACATATTTATCTGTAATCCTTTCGCATAAACAAGTTCAAAAGTGTGAAACAATGTGAACCAAAATGATTTAGGAGTCGTTTCGCATACCTGACTCAGAATTCAGTGTCATCAACGTGAAGATCGGCATGAATACGAGTGCGAAGGTTGTGGTGCTGACGGCTAAGCGAAAGAGAGAGAGAGAGAGAGAGAGAGAGAGAGAGAGAGAGAGAGAGGGGGGGGGGGGGTGAGGTCACAGCAGTTTCATAAAGGAAGTGGCCAAATTCATCTAGATACACGTTTTTCCCTTTTTCTTCTTGTACACTTTCAATACGTGTGGGCCTGTATCACCGTACGGACAGCACGGCCACACATGACGTGAGCAAACAGCCTTCAGAGCTACTTAGCATCAAATAATGCTAAAGTGGTAAAGCTAACTAAGCTAACTAAGTTCTCTAAAACAGGCAGAGCAGAGGAATTTAATCACTTTTAATGATTAATCTAAGTTCACACTTTTCTTGACCGCCAGACCCTCATACATGGCTGCAGTCCAGAGCTGTTCCCCTCAGCGTCTCTGCAACAGCCTGTTTGTTGTTAGCTTGGGTTTTGTGGGATTTTCACTCAAAAAAAACCCTCAAACCAACCGCCTGAGACGCGTACAAACACGTACACACAGAAAAAGCGCAACACATGAAAGAGGAAAAAAAGGATGTGACTCGGTTGAAATGGTTTTGTGTTGAGTTTCTGGCTTTTATAAGCTACTTTTGTTAGCCTTGAAGTGAGTTTCAGTGGGTGGAGCTTGTAGCCTCACCAGCCTCGTTCAACTGCTAAACGAGTAGGTCCATTTTAATGATGTTAATAGGCTTATTTAATGGCCAATGAGTGGGCGGAGCTTTGTTGTCTCATAGGCTTGTTTAATGGCTAAACGAGAGGGCAGAGCTTAATGGCCTCATTTAACATTCAGTTGAATGGGCGGAGTTTCATAGATGCATAGTTCCATTAAAACTCACTGGATCATTTAATATCTAAATGAGTGGGCGGAGCTGTGTAGCCTCTTAGATTCACTTATTAGCTAAATAAGTGTATGGAACTTTGAGGCCTCATAGCCTCATTTCATTACTGGGTGGAGCTGTGCAGTGTCACACTTTTATAGCTGAATGAGTGGGCGGAGCTGTGTAGCCTTACTGGATTGTTTAATACTTAAATGAGTGGGCGGAGCTGTGTAGCCTCACTGGATCATTTAATATGTAAATGAGTAGCCAGAGCTGTGTAGCCATACTGGATTGTTTAATACTGAAATGAGTGGGCGGAGCTGTGTAGCCTCACTGGATCATTTAATGTCTAAATGAGTGGGCGGAGCTCACAGGCTAGTTTCATGTGTATAAAATGGGCGGAGCTGTGTAGTCCCAGGCTTATTTCATACCTAAATAAAGTGGGTTGGGCTTCACAGACTTGGCTAAAGAAAGTTAATTTAATGACTAAACAAGTGGGCGGAGCTGCAGTTTTAGGCTCATTTCATGAGTGGGCGGGGCTGCACGGTGTACATGGCCCAAACTGAGCGCAGGCTTCTTGGGCTCACAGGCAGAGCTGTAGATGGCTAAAAAGTGGGCGGAGCTTTCTAGGCTCACAGGCTGGTACGGTTTATTGAGCTTCACAGCTGCTTTACCGGCTGAACGAAGTCTAAATAGCTCAGTGGCTCTTAATGCTCAGTAGAAAAACCCAAGCGGTGTGTTTTTCTTGTCTTTTCTTTCCTGTTAATCTCAGAAGATCTTTTGGCTCCTTTTTGCTGCTCTTGATCAGCTGGACTTGAACTTTTCGTGCAGCGCGAGTTGCGCAGATGTGAGTTTCCCTCAGGACGCCACACAGGAAGCTGACTGTGGTGAGTCTGCTGCTCAGATCGTGAAGAAATCCTTGTATTTTTTGAAATAACTTTAACTGTGAGTTGATAAGGAAGATCAGCGTATGTTTAGAGAACTAATGCAAATCAAACATGGTAATAAAACTCAGCCTGTGTGTAAGTAACTGTGGTGAATGTCTGTGTGAACAACATGAAATTCATATATCTCTTCAGTAATTCTTCATTTATGACTTGATAACTGGTACCTGGATTGAAATGAAGCTACAGCTCTTTAAACTAAATAAGGGAAACACAAAATGAGGGACTTTTATTATCAAGGATCTTCCTGTATTAGGGCCCAAACAGTGCTGTGCAAAAGCCATCTAAGAAACTGACCTTTACAGCTGTTTATCTGGACAGTAAGTGTTTATTTGTTAGAACAAATGCAAATAAATAAGCAAATCATTGTGATTTGTGTTCGCGTAACCATCTCCAGATCTCTCCTGGAGGAAGTGCAGTATTTACAGGCACCACCCAATACCTACTTAATCAGTCCTTCATCACAGTAAACCAGGTGCTGCTGGTGGAAGCCGTGCTCTACTAACCTCACATCTCTATTTTGGTTTTTTTCATTTTTCATTTTTTGATATAATGTGATAAAGTAAGTTGCTCTTCATGATGGTCAGACTAACAGAACTGGTCCAAAATTACTTATTACTTAAAAATTACTTCTGCATTAACTTCCATTGAAAGTTAAGAATGTTTTTGCTTGTCCTGTAAAGTTACTTTTTTCGGGATACGAGGTTTTGCTCCGACAACAATATTATATTTATATAGAGGTATTCATAACTTTACTGACAACAATGCAGTCGTCTCACATTTTACTGAATTTATACTTATATTTTTTTATTCTAATGTATTCTATGTAATGTTTGTACTAAAAAAAAAGACAAAAAAAAACACTGCCCACATAAATGCCTAATATTTTTATGCAGTACTGTATATTGGAAACAAAATATATATATATATATATATATATAAATATATATATATGTATATGTATATATATATATACATATCGCAAAACAAAACCTCATATCTCCATTTTTGTCCGTTTTTCAGTTTTTGACATAATTTGAAAATGCCTGTTGTCCTTTTCATTGTGTGTAAATTTTATGATGAATGGACCAAAAGAAACGACCCAAAATGACAAAAAAAAATGATGAAAATTCTGGTTCCATTGACTTACATTAAAAGTAAAGTATGTTTTTTTTATTTTCCTGTAAAGTTACCATTTGGAGACAGTTTTGTTCTGACAGCAGTGAGATATATATATATATATATATATATATATATATATATATATATATATTGCAAAACAAAACCTTGTGTCTCCATTTTTGTCTGTTTTATATATATATATATATATATATCGTAGCTGTCAGAACAAAACTATAGTACACTATGTAGTATATATAGTATATGGTATATAACTATAGTACCCACAGTGCTGCATCATCATTCAGCAGAATCTTATTAGATCTTCTTAGAGCGGCAGGAAGAAGACGGGCGGCGTCTGCAGCCTCACAGCAAAGCCTAACCTGCGCAAAACAGCACTGCAGTTATTCCAGACTTATAGCACTGAAATTATTGATATAATTGTTTGCCAGATGCACATGTCTCAGTGCAGGGGTGTGCAAAAGTTTTGGCACCCCCGGTCAAATAAAAATGTTTCGTTGCTGTAAAAGCAGCGTCCTCCACAGAGACGCACTACTGTACACTAACATACTGGGCAAAAAAAAAACGTTAAATGTGGCCTGTGCAAAAGTTATAGCACATTTTATATTTTATGTTTTTTTTTTCCCCTCAGCAAATAAATATAAATTGTGCACTAATATTGGCAGAATAATACTATATTTAAGTTTCCTGTAGAGGAGGGTTCACTTAATTTCACTCAGAGAATCAACAGAGCAGGTCATCTGAGTGGACGTGTTCATATCTTTGCATGCGACTGTATAATAAGTCTTTTTCATTTAGCTGTCAATGCAGTAAAATTAAAATTTTCAGAATTCTCTGAGGTTTTGGCCCAAACTCAAACTTACAAATCTAAATTAGTTACAACTACTTACAGCTTTAAAATGATCACATCTCTGACGTTCTTCTGTGTTGTAGCACGTTTATTAGCAGGATTTGCTTTTTGTTGTTCTGAAGTTATTTCTGGGATTGTTGCGGTTGGCGCTCCATTGTAGCTGTCAGTCACAGTAATCATCATTTATGTTGAATTACGTCAAATGAGAGTAAATTCTAATGATCAGCTGATATCAACCTGCTCACAGCCTGCTTTATGGAGGCTCATTTTTTATGTTTCCACATTTTTATTTTGTTTCTTTGGTCCAAAAATTTCAAATTTAATTTTGTGCTTTAATTATTTCTATTTATTATACATATTTATTTATTATCTGATCTAAAGCTGTTGTCAATAATACTAGAAATAATACTTATTTGATTATTTGTCCCGCTGTAACATTCGCAACGATAAACACAATCATGTTCGTAACATTTACGAATTTTTCATTTCAAGAGCTGACAAACCTTCGCCCAGCTGCTTAACATGAGCTGTGATAAAAACCCTTTATTAGTAATTACAGACAGCTTATGGTGATATTTTAAAAATTAATATTAATCGTTTATTCATCCAACATTCAGCTACTCTGAATCAAGTTGAACAAGCTGTGCTGTGTTGGACCCGCTGTATAAACTATCGCCGTGTTTTGAGGATTTATCATTAACAAGGATGTGATTATCTGACCTCACAATGATTTGATTAAATTATGATTATTTGGGAAACAATTTAACGTTTTATGAAACCTCAAATTTCAACACAATTCAGTCAGATTTGATGATTTTGATAGAATTCAGAATAAAAGCAGAACAGAAACCTTTTCATTTAATTCATTCAATTATTTATCCATTCATTTATTTGTTTGTTTGTTTACACATTTAGAAGAAACATGATTATAATTCATTAATATTAAAAAGTCTAAGCCGTTGAATTCCCACCCTCAGATGAATGGTCCCGAAGCACTGCTGCTTGTTGACCCTCCTAATAAATATTCTAAATATTTTGAATGTTTTGATGTTGTTTCAGTTTAACGGTGCTGTTACATCATGGCTCGAGCCTCTATTGCCATGGATACAATTGAGGAGGATCCAAGGAAACACGGACGCCTGACTGACGGGGACGACAGTCACCCGCTGATTAAATACTACAAAGCCACCACGCTGATTGCTGACAAACCGCCGCCTCTGCATCGACTGCTGGACAGACAGCCAGCAGCCTGGGCCGTAAGACCCCTTACTGAACCTTTAATACCTAACCTTTATTGAACTTTTAATACTGAACCTTTAATACTGAACCTTTACTGAACCTTTACTGAACCTTTAATACTGAACCTTTACTGAACCTTTAATACTGACCCTGTACTCGACCTTTTATACTGAACCTTTACTGAACCTTTAATACTGAACCTCTAATACTGACCCTGTACTCGACCTTTTATACTGAACCTTTACTGAAACTTTAATACTGAACCTCTAATACTGACCCTGTAATCGACCTTTTATACTAAACCTTTCTGAACCTTTAATACTGAACCTCTAATACTGACCCTGTACTCGACCTTTTATACTGAACCTTTACTGAACCTGTAATACTGACCCTGTACTCGACCTTTTATACTGAACCTTTACTGAACCTGTAATACTGAACCTCTAATACTGACCCTGTAATCGACCTTTTATACTAAACCTTTCTGAACCTTTAATACTAAATCTTTACTGAACCTTTAATACTGACCCTGTACTCAACCTTTTATACTGAACCTTTATTGAACCTTTAATACTGAACCTTTACTGAACCTTTAATACTGACCCTGTACTCACATTTTATACTGAACCTTTACTGAATCTTTAATGCTGACCCTTTACTAAATCTTTAATAACTAATCTTTACTGAACCTTTAATACTGAACCTTTACTGAACCTGTAATACTGAACCTTTACTGAACCTGTAATACTGAACCTCTAATACTGACCCTGTAATCGACCTTTTATACTAAACCTTTCTGAACCTTTAATACTGACCCTGTACACAACCTTTTATACTGTACCTTTATTGAACCTTTAATACTGAACCTTTACTGAACCTTTTAATACTGACCCTGTACTCACTTTTTATACTGAACCTTTACTGAAACTTTAATAACGAACCTTTACTCAACATTTTATTCTGAACCTTTAATACTGAATCTTTACTGAACCTTTAACACTGAACCTTTATCGGACCTTTAATACTAAACTTTTAATACTGAATCTTTACTGAGCCTTTAAAACTGACCCAGTACTCAACATTTTATGCCGAACCTTTACTGAACCTTTAAACTTGAATCTTTACTGAACCTTTAACACTGAATCTTTACTGAACCTTTAACATGGAACCTTTACTGAACCTTTAAACTTGAATCTTTACTGAACCTTTAACACTGAATCTTTACTGAACCTTTAACACGGAACCTTTACTGAACCTTTAATACTGAACCTTTAATACTGAATCTTTACTGAATCTTTAATACTGGCCCAGTACTCAACATTTTATACTGAACCTTTAATATTGAATCTTTACTGAACCTTTAATACTGAATCTTTATTGAACCTTTACTGAACCTTTAATACTGGCCCAGTACTCAACATTTTATACTGATCCTTTACTGAACCTTTAATACTAAACTTTTAATACTGAACCTTTACTGAACCTTTAACACTGAAGAGTTTCACTAAAGCAAATGCATGTTTGTATGTTTACATGTAAATTAACCAACAGAAAGTTGCGAATAGTTAAAGTGATTTAAAGATTAGGGCTCAAACTCTAATACAGTAAACACACTAATGTGAGCAGAGCGTTTTTGCTTGTATACATTAAAGACTAAAGGGGCTCAGGTCATTTAAATTCATTAAATTACACTAAACAAAACGTCCTCCTCCTTTATACTGCATTTAATGCACTGCATTAAAGACTACAATGAACTTTTACTGGACACTGGTTATTTGAATATCTCACACAGTTTCATACAGGAAATACTATTTTAATAATGGGGAATAAATAAAAAGGAAGTAAAGCGGCAACACCTGATTGTGTTATTACTCAGCAAAGCATTTAATTACACAATAATACACTAATACATTATTGTGATTTTTGAGTGATAATTTGAGTTCATAATCTTTTATTGTGATTTTTGAGTGGTAATTTGAGTTCATAATCTTTTGAAGACACAAAAACTGATTAGTTGTTTACAAGACGTTAAACCATTTCCAAATCTCTCCTCGAGGAACCACAGTTCTAATTGTCTTTATCATCCAACATGATCGTTTGGCTAATCAATCCTTGTATATCCATATCTATATATCTATATATATATATATATATATATATATATATATATATATGTGTGTGTGTGTGTGTGTGTGTGTGTGTGTCTATACACACATACACACACACACAGACACACACACACTATATGGTTGATAGCATGTGGACCCAGCCCATTATCCCTCCTCCACCAAACTTTACAGCTGGCACAGTGCAGTCAGGCAGGTAACGTTCTCCTGGCATTCACCAAACCCAGACTCGTCCATCAGACTGACAGATAGAGAAGTGTGATTGGTCACTCCACAGAATACGTTTCCACTGCTCCAGAGTCCAGTGGCTGCGCTTTACACCACTCCAGCCGACACTTGGCATTGCACACTGTGATCTTAGGCTTGTGTGGAGCTTCTCGGCCATGGAGACACATTTCATGAAGCTCGTCAAACACAGCTCTTGTGCTGACGTTGCTTCCAGGGGCAGTTTGGAATGATCTCTACTGCTTCAGCCACTTCTTGGCTGAGCTATTGTTGCTCCTAGACGCTTGCATTTCACAGAAAAAGGACAATTGTCTAGGGCAGATCTAGCAGGACTGAAATTTAATGAACCTTCTTTCAGCAAAGGTGGCATCCTATAAGCTAAAGTCTCTGAGCTCTTCAGTACGACTCATTCTACTGCCAGTGTTTGTCTATGGAGGGGTGTCCATATACTTTGGCCATATAGGGTGTGTGTGTGTAATATATATATATATATATATAAAACTATCTTGTATAAGTCTATAATTATTAATATTTAACTCTGAAGAATCTCTGTGTATCAGTCTGTGCAGATCACCAGTGGGATCCTGAGTTTCGGTCTCGGTATGGTGTTCGCTGTGGCGTTTGGAATACACGAATTTCTAATCACTCTCTTTAGGGTTCCTCTCCTGACTGGAATAATGGTAAATATCTGTTGAAATATATAACGTAGCATTTACAATATTACATCTAAAGATAACAATATGTTTATGACAACATAATCATATGGTCTATCACTTAACCCTCTACTGTACGCATTGTGAGAGCAATTAAAAAAAAATTAAATTCCCTTTTTTCTGCATAAAATGGTCCTTGATTTATTTTTTCTGACTTGTATATTAAATTCAAAAACATAAAAAATAATACCACTAATAATGTGTGTAGGGGTCCTCTTGAAGTAACATGGTGCGACAAAGGGAAGAAATGGTATAGAGCCGTGTCCCCTGAAGTGGTGAGACCTGGCTTGTGACTGGCTAAATCCATCCCACTGTCACAGAATGTTGCTTCTGGGCAACAAACATATTTCTGTAAATTCTCACAACACAAAAATGATAGTAAATGTTAAAAAAGAGGTTTAAATGTGCTCACTAAGACTTACTTTATTGTTAACCCTATCATTGTCTTTAAATATGTATAATATTATTGTAAAGTGAGGAAAATTAGTTTGTTGCCCTGAGGCAACATCGTGCAATAGAGGGTTAACCTGTTATCATCCATAAGTGAAATTTCACATTTCCTTTGGTCCATATTTATCTGAGATTTGAGCACAAAACAGAAGAATGTTTCAAAGTGGTTAAACCATATTGCTAAAAATTGAGTAATCATTGATAGTGTTTCAAAACTTGGTGAAGGAGCGTCTTCTGAGGACGTGAGTGAATTATCTACTGCTGTCATCACATCTTCATCAGTGTAATGTTGATTCTGAGATAATTTGAGGTCTAAACATCGAGTCTGTGTGTTACGTTAATACATAAAGACGTACAACGTGGTGTGAAAAACTCGACGCCTCTGACTTTTAGATGATGATTTCAGGCTTTACAGAGCGACTCACTCACACCATATTTTAGCCTGATTATATTCTCCTCACTCAGTAATGAAACTTCTTTTAGTTTTAACCACAAAATCTTACATAGTGTAGCTTTAAATGATGTTAAACTGAGTCTAGTCACATTTTATACAAAATAAAAGAAGATATACATTCATTGTGAACAAAAATGATGAAAATTACTTTTCAAATGTCGACTCTTAGATATTCATCCGAAGTACAGCGACACAAAACTTCACTTTGGACCAAGTTCTGTCATTTTTACCCATCACACTGAGAGTAGTTGATGGATGTGATCAAATACCCACTAATTATGCAATATAGTGTATATTCTGTGTATATTCAGTCCTGCTTGATATTAAAATATTAGTATCATTGATCTACACTCTTAAAAAGATGGTTCTTCAAGACAATGGCTCTATATAGAACCATGAACACCCATTTCATGCTTAAATGGTTCTTTGCATGATGAAATGGTTCTTCAGGTTGACGGAGAATGTGTTGTATATGGTTCTGTACAGCACCAAAAAAGCTACTGTGATGATGTCAAACAATAGAAGAACGCTTTTTGATGCTGTATAGAACCATATAGAACACATTCTCCATCAACCTGAAGAACCATTCCACCATGCAAAGAACCATTCAATCATGCAGATGGTTCTTTGAGTGTTCATGGTTCCATAGTTGATCCGTCTCTTTCCGAATGTGGCTCTAATCACGTCTCTTCCTTTTTTGCTACTTTCTAGTTTTTGGTTGCTGGATTTTTGTCCAACCTGCTGTATAAACACCCTGGACTGCTACAGGTTTGTGTTTTAATGTTGTAGATTTGTTAATACAGAATAATCTTAAACGTAACTGTGTTCCTCACGGCCTCTTTTTTGAACAGAATGTCCATTCAGAGTGTTTCTCTGTCCTGCAGGTCTGCTTTTACTCCAACATACTGTGCCTGGTCGTGGCCACCGTTGGAGCCGTGCTGCTGTGCGTCGATTTAGCCAGACCTCCGCCACACCAACTGCGCTTCCAGGTAAACGAGACGTGAAGCTGATGATTTAACATCATCGATTCAGGAGTGTTACAATCTATTATAATCGATCATAACTCTGCACTCATTTTTGGGCCTCAGTCTACTTTTACTCGACAGTAGCCTCTTAAAATCCCTTTACAAACAGTTCTGGTGTTGTTTACGTTCAGGCGTGTAAACCTCAGACCTCGATTACGAGCCTTTATTAAAAGATTCAGATGAATTGTTTAGTCAGATTCATTCATTATTGTATTTTTATGTTTAATAGCCTTTTACTTTGGTCAAATGCTGAGCGCAGACTTTACTGAACATTATTAGAATCCATTACAGGCAGATCTAGCATTACAAAAACCCCTGCAGTGGAATCGCCATCCTTAGGTTAATATTAGAGTCTACAGCATTTAATGAAGTAAAAGTAATTTAACCCAAATATAATTTCTCTGCTATTTTCAAGGGATAGAACAAAAACAGTCTTGTTTTGTTTTTATTATATTTATTATTTCATATCGCTGCTGTCAGAGCAAAACTGCACATCTCCACTTTTGTTGTTTTTCAGTTTTTGACATAATTTGAAAATGCCTGCTGCCCCTTACATTGTATGTAAATTTTATGATGTATGGACTAAAAGAAACGGCCCAAAATGACTTGGATAAACATCTGGTTCAACTGACTTACATTAAAAGTAAAGTATGTTTTTTCCTTCTCCTGTAAAGTTGCAATTTTGGAGATAAGAAGTTTTGCTCTCACAGCAGTAATAGAGCGGTAGGAGCCAGCAGCCAGAAGGTTGTGGGTTCAAATCCCAGGACGGACTGTGTACACCTGGCTGTGCCCTTGGACCAGGCACTTAACTGCCCCAGGTGGCGCTGCCCCCAGACTGGGCAGCAAAATGATCAATTTCACTTGTAGGATCAATAAAGTGTATATTCTACTGCTGTGTAAACAGTTCCTAAAGTCAGAGGCCACCATAAAAATCTGTTTTTTTTATTTAATCTGGGAATTAATAGAAAGCTTTAATATTTTGAAAAAGGTAAAATGAAGAAGATTCACAATTCTGCACTATTTCTAGGTTGCTACTCAAAACTCAAGCAAATTTGTGACACTATGTTGTGGCCTTTGTACAAACAGGATTATAGTAATATAATAGTCTTATTCCTTCTATTGAAGCTTGTGTTCAAATGACTCTCGGGTGGATTTGATCTGCTCATCAGAGGCAAAAGCAGCCAAAACTAAGAAATCCTGAAATTCATGTTCAAATTTCAAAAATTCTACTTTTTACTCAGATAGTTATGCTGATAATAGAATTTGTAGTGAAACAAACTGTAATAAAAAGTGATGTGTGAAATAACAACACATCCACCTGTGCTGCCTGTTTTACACATTTCTGTGTGACTTTTAGCACATTTTGTGTTATCATGAAATATTTGAACACATCTTATTAAGTGTTAAATCTGATGCGTCTATTTGACAGAATGTGTTGTTTTTTGCGCTGCAGTCTCTGCGTATTCGGCTCATATGAAAGGCGTCATTAATATGCAATATGAAATCTGTCCTGCAAATTTCACAAGCAGACTCAGACTTTTGGATCTCACTGTACATCTGAGTATTTTAATTGTTGTTCTGAGTCGAGCCAAAAGAATCGAATCAAACTGACTCATGGCGAAATTACAGATTTCACGATGCAGTGAATCGTTTCCTAAAGAATCGTAATCAAGAATTTAATCCAAAAACTAGATACTGGGTGAGTTTACAGGCACTGAATAATCCGATAACAGCAGAAAAGCAGATTTTGTCAGTAAGTGCTTCAGCGTCACTTCACGCCGCACCTTTTTACTTGCAGATATGAATCAGCATCATTAGAAGGCGAAGTATATTCAACTTCTTTATTTCGTCACCTCTGTTTCAGTGTCGCTCCAAAGGTGTCGCTGCCATTTTGCGGCTGCTGCTTGCTGCACAGCTCTACCCTCTGTTTGCGCTAATGCACAGACTAAGAAAGGACAGGAAGAAGTCAGAGGAAGGGCAAACATACGCTGAAAAACCAGACTACAGAGCCAAAATCCAGAAAGAAATCCGATAACGGCCTTAATCTGATCCAAGAGTTTAGACTCTGCTGTTCACATGGCCACTTAAAATAATCTGACAAGGATTCTGTCAGTCTGTTCTTTAAACGATGGCTCAACGACCCAATTTTGGTCAGACATGTATGTGCTGGGTGGCCACACGGTGAAGAATGTGTGCCATTTCGAAAAAAAAGAGCTAAAGCGGAAAGAAGACCAAAGAAAACAAAGCAGGTGAATTTTTGAAAACGTATGCATATTAATGACGCCTTTCATATGAGCCGAATACGCAGAGACTGCGGCGCAAAAGACAACACATCCTGTCCTCAAACAGACGCATCAGATTTAACACTTAATAAGATGTGTTCAAATATTTCATGATAACACAAAATGTGCTAAAACTCACACAGAAAAGTGTAAAACAGGCAGCACAGGTGGATGTGTTGTTATTTCACACATCTCTTTTTAGAGTGTGGGACTGAAGAGCTGTGGAATCACACTGAGCTGAATTCTAAACTCAAAGATCTAATCAAAGACTTCTCGATCAGGCTTTTATTTTTTGCACATCTTTTTAATCCTCTTAAATTTTAAACATAGATTAACTAATCTGTGACTGAGGCCTCAATCTGTGATTAAAACCTTGACTTGCTATTCGTTTTGCTTGGGATATATATACTATATACAGTCATATACAGGTACAGAACACACGCCTGCACATTTTAAAACAATTTAAAAACAATTACTGTTTATCTGCTGATTTTTGCATTTTTATTGGAAAAAATAAACAGAAAATGTGCCAAAACTTTTGCACAGGTCACATTTTATTTATCTATTTTTTTTGCACCGATACGTTAAATTCAGCAGGTAACGTGAGGAGTGTGTTCTCTTTAGAGGAGCTCATTTTGACTGACTGTGTAAATTACAATGTAAATTTAATTTAAATCACCTCATCTGGAAGTTTAAATCTGTTTAAAGTCATAGTGCAGCAGGATTTCATGGAATCCACACACTTTAAAAATGATGGTTCTTCAAGGGTCCTTTAGCAAAGAAAATGGTTCTGTATAGAACCATGAACACTCAAAGAACCCTTTGTATGATTAAAGGGTTCTTTGCATGGTGAAATGGTTCTTCAGGTTGATGTAGAGTGTGCTGTACATGGTTCTATATAGATTCTTCTATTGTAACAAGCTTGACTTTTGGCATTTTCAAAAAGGTTCTATATAGAACCATATACAGCACATTCCACACCAATCTGAAGAACGATTTCACCATGCAAAGAACTCTAATCATGCAGAGGGTTCAATACAGAATCATTTTCTTTACTAAAGAATCATTAAAGAATCGTTTTTAGGTGTGTATATTTACTGTAAAACGAATCCAGGATCAAAACCATGGTTTAAAGTTAACCCTGATTAGTTTGAAACTAGATTTAGTCCAAGTTTAAGCTTAATCTCTCTTGCTGCAACGCATCAGTTCTCTCATTTGAGTCCTCGAGTTTCCTCAAAGTACCTCTGCTTTAGATCAATTACGAAGATGAGTTAAAATGAGCTTCACTATTTATAACCGCGCTGAGCCTCATGATCTCGTGCCTGTGTGTGTGTGTGTGTGTGTGTGTGTGTGTGTGTTTACTGTGCAGGTGGAAATCGTGGTGCTGTGTGTGACACTGTTGGACATGGTGGTCTCTGCTGTTCTCATCTTCTTCATGCATGCTGAGAAACGCAACCCCGAGAAAAACAGCTCTGGTTCCAGCGCTCACCGAGAGTAAACCGAGAACACTCTCATTCTCAGTCCTGCTGGACGAAACCACAAGAGTCAAACCAAGTTATTCAAACAGAAATGACCTGAAAAATCTCCAAAAACTACCACCCTGGAGACTGACTCCCAGGAAGGCATAGAACCTTCAACAAGCAATTGGTCAAAACAATTTAAATAGAATTTTCAAGCAAACTTGAAGAAATATTAAAGAGCCAGTTCAGGAAAAAAAATCTAATTTACATTGTTTTCCCACCACCAAAATGACAGCATCTATAAAAATGGACAAAACTCTGAACACCTTGTGTGGTGTTGATGTGTTTGTTACTCGGTGGTCTGGTGGACCCACCACATTATTGTTTTCTTAATCAATACAGCCATAAAAAGTTCTGTAAAAATACCAGATGTTTAAAATATCACAAGTGTCCAGCGTAGGGTTCTCCTATAGCAGCTATAGCCAGTCAGCAGCCTGTCCATGTTGTCCACTCTCACACTCTCACACACACACACACACACACACACACACACACACTAACAGCAGGCCATGTAGGAGGAGAACAGAGTGAAGGACACAGCACCTCCACACTTTTACTCCCCGCAGGTTCACCCAACACCACATGTGTAGTATAAATGTGTGGGGGGTGAACAGAGTGAAGACACTGAAAATGGGTTATTTTATATGTTCTTCACAGAAAACGAGCAAAGACCAAGAATCTGAGGGTGAAATAATAAAAAATCATTTCTTATTTTGGTAAACATTGAAAACGGGTCCTACAGACCTGAACACCACACAGGGGTTAAACATTTACCCTTCCCCCAAATGACATACTGTAATCTATAATTATCCACATAAACTTTACAAGCAGTTTGACTGGATGTATTTGTACAAAATTTAGCACCTGCTTTATCTGCGTGGGGCCTGAACTGTAACCATGCTCAGCTTTTTTCAACTCGCACATGTCGTGAGACTCACTGAGACCTTTATGTTGTAAACGTTATCTACTCTGTATGAAGAGTCTGTGACTGTACTCATAGTTTCTAGAGGCTCAATGCAGAAGCTGAAACTTCTGCTTTTTTAGTTTCTCACTATAAGTACGCTCGTGTCCTTTCTGTTCTTAGAGCCTGTTTGGTTTTACCCGTGGTCAGAACCAGAATGAAGAAGTTTTCAGAGGCGGAACTTAAAAGCGACACTGTTTCTCAAGCCTCTGTCGCTGTTAGAAATCAAACATTAAACACACGGCTGGGAAAAAAGGATTTTATTAGTTGTTCCAGTCCTAAAAATTAAGCTCATTCTTTTTGCTGTACAGACAAATCATGCTTACATAAAAAGCTTTAGTAAGTAAACTGCTTGTCCAAACTGCTGTGCTTTTTTCTGAATGTAAAAATTGCTTTTTTTAAAGAATGTCTATGTGTTCATCAGTGATACAGAGATTCACTCACTCGCTGTTCAGTCAGCGTACCAGCAGTCGCGACGCTTTAGTACTGCATAGCAATTCAGTCCATTTGCTAAAAACAGCATGTAATGTTTTATATATATGTACAATAATCAGTCTTTGATATGACCATGGGTCAGTCCACGCTGGTCCAGTGCTTCTCCTTGGATCCGAAATCCAAATGTGGAGTTGAGTTGTGCAGAAAATGGTGTCACAGGATTCACAGCTTTGGAGAGAAAAAGAAAACAGAAGAAAATTATTTAAAAATATAATCCTTACTGCCTGTTCACGTAGCTACAAACTGCAGTTTTTTATTTATTGTTTGTTATATGAGCATTGCACATATATGGAAGTTATACCACAATTAAATGAAAATGATGAGTTTTATCTTATACTGTTGAATAATTCTGTACATATTTACATCAAGCAATTAGTGCCACTCCAGTAATGTGTGAAGTTTCCTATCACTGTCAGAGCAAAACCTCATATCTCCATTTTTTTCTCAGTTTTTGACATAATTTAAAAATGCCTGTTGTTCTTTACATTGTGTGTAAATTTCATGATGAATGGACCAAAAGAAACGACCCAAAATGACTTGGAAAAAAGTCTGGTTCCATTCACTTACATTAAAAGCAAGTAGTTTTTTTCCTTCTCCTGTAAAATTACCACTTTGGAGATACGAGGTTTTCCTCAGATGACAGCGATATACACTTTTGAAAAAGATGGTTCTTCAAGGGTTCTAAAGACAATGGATCTATATAGAACCATGAACATTCAAACATTCCTTTTGCATGCTTAAACGTTTCTTTGCATGGTGAAATAGTTATTCAGATTGATGGAAATTGTGCAGTACATGGTTTTATATAGAATCTTCTTTATAGCAACAAAAAATGTTCTACTGTTACAAGCTTTTTCAAAAAGGTTCTATATAGAACCACATACAGCACACTGTTCATCAACCTAAAGAGCCATTTAAGCTTGCAAATGGTTCTTTGAGTGTTCATGGTTCTATAAAGAACCACTGTCTTCATAAAACCCTTGAAGAAACATCTTTTAACTAGTGTAGTTTATTAGCTATTTCTTTTCCCTTATTTCAGTTTTTTTCTGAACATATACTAAGCAGAAATAAAATATGAGTGAACTGTACATGTTTAAATGTACTGTACCATTAAAATTTGTTCTATTTCTGCAGTGTTATTTGATTACGGTTAAAAAAATTAACATATGTATAGCCATAATGAAATCAGCAGTGATGTCACAGCTGCAGCTTGTTCCTGTGGTGCTTCCTGGTGGGGAACTTTTATTTTAGTATTATTAGATTAGGCTTCGGCTTCTAACTGTAAGCCTTTAAAGTGCACCTATATGGTAGATGTTTTTCTGATAATACAGCCAGTGAGTGTGAATGTAAATGTGAGATGTGTGCAAAATATGAAACGTATCAAAAGGGCATTAGATTAAGGTCAGAGTGGAGGAGGAATAAGAAGGAAAATAAAGCAAGCAGAAGACAAAAAACACCAAAATCTCCCAGTAAAAAGCCCAACAAACCTGCTCAGCCTTTTAGCAACAGCAACCCCATGCACACCCACAGCAACACACACCACATGCAAATAAAAGCCGTAAAAAGCCCACATTTTCCAGAAGTCTCAGAGGAGTTCTGATCTAGGAACTGCTGTGTCCTTTATCGGTCACATACTAACAGTATTTCTGATCCTAAATCAGCACTAATGCCATGAGAAATCTGATAAAGGCCCACTGTGGTGCACAGCTGAACCCACCGTTTATGAAGTAGTCTGGCAAAAAATCCCTTACCCCTTGCACACTGTGCGCAAGTACATCACAGCTATAAACAGTGCCAGAAAACACATGCAGCCCCGCAAATACACACGACGTAACAACGCCTTCAGACACAAAAGCCCACCTTTATCAAGTGTCTCAGAGTAAGAGTTGTGATCTAGGAACAGCTATCGCCATTCTCAGTCATATAATAACTGTGTTTGTTACTGTAATGTGCTGTGCAGAAGTCTCAGGCAGCTGAGAAATGTGTTTAAACATCTTTATCTGGACAAAATGAGTGTTTTATGGCAGTAAAGTCTCTATATAAGTTATATATGTTAGAATAAACACAGTAACATTATAAGAATGTGTTGTTTTCAGAAAAGTTTCGTGTATGTAAGTTAGAAGCACCTGATTTCATCGTAGCTACATGGTACAGTCAGAATACACCTACATGCTAGCTACATGGTAACTAAATAAATACTGGACTACTTTGAGGAGAGATTAAGAAGCAGTTAGGCTAACACAAATACATCAAATCACAAAGTATTCTTTATCTCTAGAAGCTTTACATATCATCTCCTGAGACGCCTTAGACTTCTGCACAGTACTGTACATGATAATCTGATCCTAAATCAGCACTCGTACAATGAGAAACTTGATAAAGACCCATTTAAAGTGCTGCAGCTGAAGCTGCGAATGAGGAAATCGGGACAAACAAAGCTTCACTTCATGCTCTTTACTTACTGATCTAAACCCTTTGATTCAGACCAATGTTGAGAGGCCTATAGATACATGAGACGGCTTGTTCTGGTGAAACAAAATATCAGAAAGAGTTCAGGTTGAACCTTGGAGGAGTGATGATGGATGGAAATGAAGGTGGCCTGTTTCTTAGTAGCTGAGAAAGTAGGTTAGCATGTGTTATCTTCAGTTCCTCTAAGGGGCCTAGTAAGCAATCACTACAAGCATCCACTAATGTGCACTATAGTGTTTACTATGCTGGGGTACTGAGGGGGGTGGTAATAGCGCACTAACCGCGGTGATGAAGTTGCTGGGCTCGGACGGAAGCTCCTGCTCTTTGTGAAAGAGAACGGAGGATGAGGAGGATGATGACGAGGAGGGAGCGGAAGAGGAGAGGAAGGACGAAGGCTCTCCGCTGGAGTAGGTGTCCATGAGCAGAGGAGGGTGGAGAGGGACGGTCAGTGAGGTTACAGTGGTCACTCCATCGCTGGACACACTCTGGGAGGACGACTCTGAGCTCTCTGTGACTGATGAGAGGGAGAGAAGGACAATAGTGAGCTAATTTGCAGTGATGATATATGTAGTTATGTTATAACTGAAGCTTGGGGTGAGAAACAGGCCTGAAGCCCCTCCTTCCAATCTAACTCACTATAAATTCACATCCTCACCTTACATTCCTGTGTTTGCAATCCCCACCGTCACCCCAAATCCTGCCTGTTAATCGGTCCTGCATAAGTCCTACTACACCTATGAGGGGGTCCGGCCTTCTCCCCCCTCTCTCAATCAATCTTCCCTCATACTACCACCGCCATGTTGAAGGCAAGTTCTGAACTCACAAAACCAAATATAACACTTTTTTACAGTAACTCCACTATTGCTGTGCCTGTATATTATTGCTGACTAAAGAAAAACATCTCCAAAATAGTAACTTTACAGGAGAAGTTAAGGAATTTCCGTAACTTTTAATGTAAGTCAATGTAAAGAGGTTTTACTCCAAGTGATTTTGGAGCATTTCTATTGGTTCATTCATCATGATATTTTCACGTTATAAAGGATTGAAATGATGTAGAAAAACAAAAATCGACAAAAATGGAGACACTTTTTTTTGGACAGCAATAAAGTGCCAGCCCTGTGTTGACCCCAGTGCCGTAAAAATAAATAGAAATAAAATAATAGTGTTCGATGTGTGTGTGATGTGAAGTACACTCTTAAAATAGGGCTCTACAAGGGTTCTTTAGTAAAGACAATGGTTCTATATAGAACCATGAACACTCAAAGAACCATTTGCATGCTTACTGTTGTCAGAAGAAAATCTCGTATCTCTAAAATGGTAACTTTACAGGAGAACGACAAAACATACTTTACTTTTAATGTAAGTCGATGGAACCAGACTTTTATCCAAGTCATTTTGGGCCGTTTCTTTTG